TGAAATAAAAAATAAAAAATGAAATGAAATAAAAAATGAAATAAGTGAAATCAAAATGGATGAGGTAAATAAAAGGCTATAGTTATTTTTCTTATAATATTAAATTTAATTTTATCCATTTTTATACCATCAAGAAGAATATAAAATAATTGATATTTGTGCTTTGAAAAATAAGTTATCTCCCTTGTATTATCTAGTCTTACATAATGCTAATTACCTCCCTTGCATTGCATTATTTTTTTTTTTTTTATGAGAGTTTTTGTCTTCATTTTAAACTGTTTTTTTTTTTTATTATGCTGAAAAAGTTATAGTATATTTCTTAACTGGTACACCTGAATTGCCGGAGTTGTTCATTATTTTTCTGTTGCTATTGTTAAATAACTCAACATTTTAGCTACTTTTCTTCATGTGTATAATCAGTGTAAAGAGAGATCTTGATTTTTCTCTCACAATGAAAAATATGACAATCACCCAACAGACACAACTCAAGATTGTACTTTATAATGAGTCATCCAAAAATGGACAAAGTACAAGGGTAAATATAGATCCAAATGCATGGTGATGGTGAAAATAAAATATGCTAAACCAGGAAGAAATCCTTGATTTTCTGAGTTTAGATTGGAAGTATAAAAAATATTTCATCAGGAATATTCTGCCATTCCTCTTGAAACAATTCAAATCTCTTGTAAGTTCGTTAGGGTTGCAGTTTTACACACAGATTCTCATGGTCAACACTTTGGGCAAACCAATGTCTTCCTTTATCAGGGAGAAACTTGTTACAATATAGGCAAGTATTCCCATGTTGTAATATTTCACCTTCTGCTGGTAAGAGGAGGAACCTTAGCAAAGTTATGTATGTTTCATTGTGTTCAGCAATCAACTTTTTATTAAGTTTCTTGTATAACTGCTGTAGAGGCAAGCCTCAAAACAATATGACTAATACAGAATTTGACAATCTATGTTGGATTGTGTTTTTGTATCAAATGAACATGAACTCTTACAATGCATTTCAATTTTGTGTTTGTTACTGAATATCAAGGTTTTCTCCTTTAATAAAAGCAGAGATTCTTTTCATTTTGTTTGATAGTTTTTGGATAGTAATGGCTTTTAGCTTATAATCTCCTCCTTATTTTAGGAACTCTCATTTCATGACTAAAGCTGTTTTCCTACGTTACTTGATAAGCCATTAATATTAGATTGAATACTGATAAATGAACTAATTTTCTTTTGTCTTGAATCTTTTTGTCTAATTTCACAAATTTACCTGTCATTTTACTTTTCAAAATGCTCCTAACATTAACACATTTCTAGTTGTCTTAGGCAAAGCATTTTGATATTCCAGGATCCTTCAGTCAATTAAGTGCCATATGTGATGCATGCTTGGGAAATCATGTCTCTTTCAATTCATGTCTTCTTTTTTTAGTAGATTGATTATCAACCAAGGCTATAGGACCCAGTTAGTCCTGCTATTCAAATCATAGCTGGGAGAAAAGACAGATTCATACCTAATCTCAAGAGTATTTGAACAAAAGTGAATATAATGAACTCAGGTAGAATTTGAACTCAGCTCTCTGATTATCTCATATCAATTGCACCACAACACACGTCCAGCCTCCTTGGCAATTGCAATTGATAATATTTAAACAATCTCCATCCTCTTCTACAAATTCAATCCCCCTCCCCATTATGAAAATTAAGTCAAGTACATTAAAAAGAAGCTTGAAAGATCCAAAGTTTACACAATCCTGTTCATCATGAGAAACTTGCATTCATGACTGTAAAGACATTCACCATAGTGGGATGAAGGCTTCGTAACTTTTGCACACCCTATATTCAACATCCCCATTCATTCATAATGATATCTCCTCCCCCGTACTCCCTAATATGAGTGCGACAATTTGTACTACAGTCTTGAATGACAAGAGACTCTTTCTGAAAATACAGACAAATTAATCTTTAGCAAGGAAGATGATTTCTTTAACTCAATACTGTATAAGCACATCTTAAAAAGAAACACTCTGTACAAGGCTCAAGATCCACTTGAAGTAGAGGGTTACAAAGGTGCCATCCGAAGCCAGGTGATAATGCCACCAAGACATAAGGGGTTACCAGAAGTGAAAAAGAAAGAAAAGCCTTTAAAAGGAATCAGAAACCCAATCCTAAACAGGAAACAAGGGATAAACTTCAACTCCAGTTCAAAAGACCAGATGATAGGCCAACCTATCTACTTCCTTATATATCATGAATTATAGAGATGATCTGTTTGAGTTCATATGACAGGATTTGTACATTTACCAAGATAGAGCTGGAGTAGAAAAGTCATTTAAAAGTTTGATCAATGGAGTAAAATATAAAACCAACACTTTAAGAAATTATATAGAAAAGTGGATTTTATGATTGAGAACTTTAATGATTTAATGATACAAAACCTACTAATTAACCCATACAGGGGAGAAAAAGAGATGGATTTATATCTTTCCCAAGTGCATAAGTGACTATAATGAAACCAACTGGAATTAGAACTCTGATTTCGATTTCCAATTCCAAACCATTATCTATTACACCATTTGTACATCCAAGCTTACAGCACTTGATATTTGTAAGCAGTTACTCATCTGAGTTATGATCGACATTACTTAACTTCAGTAATCATATGAGAACCAGTGTTTCAAGAAGATAAGGTTGTAAGCCTATAAAAAAGTGGAAGCCCCATAAATAGGCTTTCTTATTAATTTATATAAATATATATAACAGCCAGCAGTATAAAGGGGTTTAGCATCTAAACTAAGCATGAGTTTATCAGTCATAATAATGAAAACAAATCATGCTATGAATTAAAAGAATACCATCCTAAAATACCAAAACATTATAATCTCCCTAAAACCCACAAAACAGGCATTTCAATGTGCTCCATTATATCAGGCATTGGTAGCACTCCCCATAAAATGACAAAAACCAGAACAAAAATTTTAACCCCTCTTCTTGAAACAATCAGCCGATTCCATGTTAAAATTTTAGGCAACTTGGTTGAAAAATTATGGGGAGGTATTTCCTTAATCAAAGTTGAGGAATTGTTGAATTGTCCAGGTATACATTTATCTATTCCCTTCTCACTGTCTACTCTTGTCACATGCCATACACAAGACTATGATTACTGGCAATGAGAAATTTGAGTTCATGCCTTTCACAAAAGTGCTAACAGTCCCAAATGGAATTATTTAATGCTTGTTCAACAAGCTGACAAAAAATGTTTCTAAATAAAAATAATGAAAGCATCTTTTATAAAAGACAATGTGACTATATTTGTTATGCAATTTGATCTCGTTTTTAGTAATGACAAGTTTTTAGTAACTTCATTGTTATAGTAACAGGAGACCTTACTCCTGTTATAAATGAACGTTTAACAGAAAAGATTGTTAATCACTGCTTTTTATTTCTATTTTGTATTATCTTTCTTGTTTTTGTTTTTTTTACTTCTAATGATTTAAAGAGCAGAATTTTTTACTTAGATTTGACAACAGAGTTAATTGTGTAATTGTGTGTTTTTCATAAGAAAATTTAATGAGGATAACTAGAAAATTACACAAATTTATTCATCATTGCTTTTGACTATACAGGCAAAACTAATATAACTGAAATACAGTCTAAACAGCTGATGTCAGCAATAACAAAATATTGCCTGCCATATTAAAGAGAATCTAGAAATTTCTTAAGATTTTATAATTTGTTTTTTAGACAATAAAAAAAAAATAAGTGGTGAATGAACAGGGTCAAATTTAGATGAAGAGAGGCCCTAGGCTATTCCACTTGTGAGGCCCCTCCAAATAGCCCATTCTCACGAGTAGAGGAAAATAGAAGAGTGTTAAATTAAATGATTTGAGTAAAGCCGAGGATGATGATGGGTGTTTAAAATTACTGAAGGCTTATTTAGAGTCTATAATGTATTATGATAGCATGTGGAAGTAAGACCTATGGCAATGTCAAAAATATTCAAAACCTTGGCTGGAGGCTGGCTAAATTTTGAGGCCCTAAACTTCAGCCAAATTTGGCACAGGGAATGGCAAACAAGAATCAGAATGTATTTGGGAAAGGAACTTAATAACTACATTTGGCATTTTGTTGCTGAAGGAAGTAAAGCAGTTTTATTGTTTCTACTCCCTGAGTAGATAAGCGTACTCACCAACCTACATTTTTCCCCTTTAATAACCATTATAGCTGCTTGCCAATAATGGAACACTTTTCTTAAAACATCTGACTATGGGATGAAACACAAGATTCTTTAAAACACATACTGCAGTCCTTACTTACCAACTCCCAATTTGTTTTTGTTTTTTAGGGTTTGGGGGGGGGGACTAAAGATTGATGGAGTGGATACGATGCTGAAGACTTTTGTTTTTTTTGTCTTTTTTTGTTTAACTTTAGAAAACTTTTTTTTTAATGTTGCCGTTATCATTCTTATTACTATTTTCTGCTTTTTCTTTTCTTTTTTTTTTTTTGTTACAAATATTTACGTTTTGGTAACCTGAGATGGTCAATTTCATTATTATTTACAAAAGAGAAAAAAAAAATAACATTTCAGTTGATAAAAAAGCAGTGTACTTGAAGGCAGAGCCACCCTAACAAGACAGGGTGGCACCAACAACCAGCAGCACCCCACATTCACTAGCAATACAAAAAAACAAAATGGTTTTCTTCTCGTCTTGGGGGCTTTTTTTTTTTTTTTTGTGTTTTTTTTTTTGTTTATTTCTATATTTTTTTGTTTTTTTATGTTTTTTTAATGTAACTTTTCAACAGTACTCAAAGCACATTGCACTTAAAATCTTTAAACCAAACATTTTTAGCAGTTGTGTGAATGAACGGCTGAGGCAGTCTGAGGCAAAAACAAAACAATGAAAAGAGAAGAAGAAAAAAAAATATCAAAAGGAAAATTTTGAGTAATTATGAAAAGTTAAAAAAAAAAAAGAAAAAAAAAAGGCAATATATGAAATGTGCAATGAATTTCAGGGCCTCATATGAAGAAACTTATTTTCTTCTGCCAGTTGAGTTAAAACAGACGTCATGTCATTGACAACCATATTGTTGGTACTCAGCAAAGACATGTTTGTGAATCGTGATGACTGGGACATACGACTGTTGGAAACATTAGATGGACTGTAAAAGTGACGATTAATATTTTCAGATGATAATGAGCTAATATTTTCTATCAAGTTCTCTGTTGATATGGAGTTGATATTGTCCATGAAGTCTTCGATGGGTGGTTCGGACGGATTTCCTGCCTTGTCTGTGGAGCTGGTCACTTGGTTACAACCTGGAGACATTTCCAGCGGATTGGGGAACGGGCTCTGTATCTGTTCAGCATTCACCTGGCAACTGAGACGATCCAGGTTAGTATTCTGATTGTACAAGACACCTGACGGTACCACCTGGTTCAATGAGGGCTGAGGAGGTGATGGTATGAGATTTGTTGATTGGGGATAGGCTGAATGGGGAGCTCCACCAGGAGGGTGTGGCTGGAGGCAACCCAAGTTCCCTGACTGGGATTGCTGGGTCACATAGTTACCTGAATGGAGGTGAGTAAGGCCTTGGTTGTAGGGATTTGGACTATTGTATATTGCTTGTTGCTGGGTGCTGCGATTTCCAGACATCATTTGTTGCTGTCTCAGATTCTGTTGACTTCTGGTAATGGCTTTGGCACGAGCTGGAATCTGGGACTGACTGATGTGAGGTACCTGTACCTGAGGGCTTTTCCGTTCCTGCTTCTGAGGAGGTTGTGGTTGCAATTTGTGCATAGCATTCTGTGCACTGAACTGACTGCCAGACTCTAAATTTGGTTTGCTTCCAGGTGGCATCGGAAGCCACTGGGAATTTATTTGCGATCCAGATATCGCACCCTGGTTCATCATGGCCGGGTTCGGCTGACCAGACTGTGCGTTCATGTACTGTGGAGAGTTGGCCACAGTGTTTCCTGAGGGTGTTGGCATCATGGAATTGTTGCCTTGGTTAAAGTTCTGGTTAGTGTCTCCCCATTGTTGCATCTGTGTCAGACTAGCCTGGACAGCTGCTGTAGCAACACTGTTCTCTCTATTAGAGGCTATGTTGCTCATTATTTGTTCAGGCCATTGTGCAAGCCCATTAGTAGGGTAGTTAGTTCCCACCCCATAGCCCTGAGTTTGAAGTCCTGCATTCTGTGATGAACAGCCATTCTGACTAGCTGTAAAATTTTGTCCCTGGGAGTGCATTGGCGAAATGTTCATGTCATGGTGAACAGAATCACCATTAGTTGTATTATTATTATTGTTATTATTATTATTATTATTGTTGTTATTGTTAGAGCCAGAGCCAGCTCCTGAGGTATTTCCGGGTACAACCACATTATTACTGTTTGGCCCATTCTGTGTGAACATTGGGTAGACTCCATAGCGTTCATTTAAAAACCTCTGCATATCATCTGGAATTATGATATCTTCATTATCTTCCAACATTTTTTCTTCAAGGGCAGCTTCACTGTCAATCATGTCCATCATGTTAAGGCCATTCTCTTGATCTTCAGCTAAGCTGTAATCAGTGGCGATGCTGCTGCGGGAAGAATTGAAAGTGTTCATTGATTCAGTCTTGCACAGCAAGCTCTTCATGTTATTTGGAATCGGCAGAGGTCGTACCATATTCAAACTATGGAATCTCTGCAAGGTCTTCAGGGCAGCAAAACTTGGATCAGCTGTTCGTACAGGATCACTAGCCCGACGAATCTCACGATTTGGGATTTCATGTGGCAGTGGCGTGCACGAAGGTGTACTGGTTCTCGCACCATCTAAATCTCGTCGGGTGGCGAAGAAGCGAGCCAATCTTTCATTTTGGTATTTATTTGACAGGTTTCTCATTCGGTTGCAAGACATGAGGTTTGGCTGGCTACCCAGGGTGGCTTTCTGAAGCTGAGCAGTCATGTTACCAATGTTGCTACTTTCTCCACTCGAACGCCGAGAGCTAATAGGTATATTGCCCGTGATATCATACTCATAAGGAGAATTGGTGATGCTGAGGTGTGTGGAGAATTGGGAAGACTCACTGGAGCGTCGACTTGAGAACTGACTACCCAGGCTTCCATATGGGTAAGGACTGTTCTCAGAACGCATACTACTCAAGTATGAACTTGTGCTACTTGTGTTGCTATCTCGACGGACTGCATTATTAGAAATCGAAATGTTTGGCAGATTTGCATCTTGGCGACCTGTGGCAAGAACAAAAAAAAAACAGTTTCTACAAACATCTATAAGAATATGTCTGGTGACATTAATATACAATATAAAAAATAAATAAAACAGGCCACAGTAATATGACGGCCTCAAAAGGTGAAATGAAATAAAAATTGTCATGCCTTTTTTCAAGTTTATATTCTAAGTATGAAGACAAGTAAAACAAAAGTAAAAATTTTTTAAGGGCCATTATTCAATGCTTAAGATGGCAATTCAATGCTTTAAGGTGTTAGAGAATTATTTTGGGGAGTCAATATATCATTCCAGTATAGTGGAATTTTACATGCTTTTGTTAACAAATGCATTGTAATTAATAGTTCACTAGTTCACCTATTTCTCTCAAGTCTCATTATCCATTGGCACCACATGTAGTGCAGCTATATCAATGCTGGCACCACATGTAGTGCATCTATAACAGCAGAGGTGTGTCATGGGCAAGATAACCTGATGGAGCCCAGCCTTCTTCAGATTGGTTTTGAGTTTAAAATTCAAGACTGGTTACCACCCTAAGGCAAAAGCTTAGTCTTTTCTGTTATTTAATCCATAATTGGAGGGAGATGGATTGATGCCTTTTTCAAGAGCATTAGCATGAAGTAAATGAAATGGAATTAAGCGAGAGCTGAAATTGGCAGAATGGATTCATTTTGAACAGCAAAAACCATTCATACACACTTCCATTCATCTGTTACAAGCCAGTCCCAAATGTAATGTCGTATATTCCTTTGGGTTTTGTGGGTACAGCCAAGAGGTGGGGACACATAATCTGGGCAGTACATGGCCTACATGTACTATTACCCAGGCCTGCTCACTACCAAAGAACGAAGTTTTAACTAAACAGTTTGCTGTCATTATCTCACACGATAAACAGATGCCTACTATGAAATTTCAACCAAAAATATCTTTGCTTTTTAAAACTAAGATTTTCTGGATAACTGACTGAATTCTATTTGCTTTGTTAGACATTTCAATGAATACATTCTTCAGCATTGAGAATTTCTGGATGAAAAGATTTTAAGCATTTCTTTGACTGTAATTTTCAACTTCTAAACAGACTTGCCTCATGCAACTTTTGAATGATTTGTCTAACAACATATTAACTCCTTATGGGTCATTTAATACCAAAATTTAATTTTTGGGGGGAGCTTTGATGTAATAAAAATATGATATATGTTATTCTGCTTTCACAATTGAATACATGGTAGATGATACTCAGCTTTTGTGCATCTACATGTTCGTGTGGACATAATTACTAGATGCAGTGATATATGTGTTTTATGTTGTAGTTTTGTTTTCTTTTAATATTCAGTCAGCAAGCTGCTTTTGTCTTTCTTTCATCTCCATCACTTACCTCTCTCTCTCCTGTATATATATATATTATTAATTAAAGAATATCAAACACTTAAAACCCCATAGGTAATAATTTTTATTTCATGAGAGCTCTAAAAAACAGCAGCTTTCAATATTCCTACAAATGAAATGGAAAAACTATTCCAGGTTAAAAACAAGAGATATTGCCAACTTCTTTAGAGAGTGGTGGCGAAGGAAGAGAGTGTTGAGAGCTTTTAGAGTTCTCATGAAATAAAAATTATTACCTATAGGATTTTAAGTCTTTTATATACTTTAATTAATAATAATTTTGCTCTGTCTTTTGACAAAGAGCTCTCTCTGGATCTATATCCTCCAAGAAATTCCATACGGAGTACCATATTATATCATTACTATATATATATATATATATATATATATATATATATATATATATATATATATATATATATACACACACACATAGGAAATGAATTAAATACGAGATAATTTAATTTATCTGTTTAAATGTTATTTTAAATAGATACTCATATTTAAGTAGATGCTTTTATTTATTTATTTACATCTACCAGCCTGAATATTCAAGAAATCTTGTTAAAAATATATGTGCCCTCCGGCAGGATTTGAACCAGCATCCCCTAGGGGAAGCTGTCATTAGATTTGTTTGATCAGGAGGTCCTACCTGGCCAAGTGGTCTAAGGCACATCAGATTTAATGATGGTTTCCCTGAGGGGACGCTGTTTTGAATCCTGCCAGAGGGTGCTATTTTTCTAAACAACATTTCTCAAATATTCAGGCCAGTAGATGTAAATAAACAAATAAACTGTTTAATAAATAAAATAAAAACTAATGTTATATAATTATTTTTATAACTTTATCAAAATAAGTTTATTGATCTTTATATTTTGGAATTATATAATTTACATTTATATCCTTATTTTTCTTTGATAAAATGTTCTTTGAAGCTTTAAAATAAAATGTTATTTCACATTTAGACTTTTTCTTAACATCGTTCTGATCTTTATGCTCGCTACTATATATATATATATATATATATGTGTGTGTGTGTGTGTGTGTGTGTGTGTGTGTGCGCGTATATTCTCATGGTGTGTATCTATAAAGGAGACAAAATGAATAAAAAGAGACAAGAGAAAAAACTGTTCTTAGCTGATGAGTTTCATTCTCAAGGCAACATAGGATTTATTTTGTATGTGTTTATATACAAAGGCAAGGATCTCATTGGCTTAAAAATTTAAAAGCCTTGATAAACTAATGAGATCCTTGCCTTTGTATATAAATACATGCAACAAAATAATATTTTTAATACTATTTGCCTTTTATATATATATATATATATGAATAAAGACTAAAGGAAAACTTATCTTAGTCAATGTGTTTTGTCCTTTAATGGACTTTATCAAGACAAATGCCAAAGAAGGGGAAATACGTCAGCTAAGTTTTCCTTTTCTCTTTATTCACATTGTTTTTTTACAGATATACTCTACCTGAATTTCTTTACACACACAAGATGGGGACTTTAATTATCCATTTTGTTTATAATGAGCAAAACATCTGTGTTCACAAAATAAAAATTATAAACAAAATGGATAATTAAAGTCTCCATCTTCTTATTATCATTATAATGCTCTGTAGTCAACATTGAGCTCTCTCTGAATTTATATCATCCTTGGAATTATCTCTTCCAGTCATAAACTGATAAAACGTGTATATATATATATATATATATATATATATATATATATATCATTTTACCATGTTTTCTTTTTTCTTCTCCAGCTTTTTTACCTCCTATCTTTCCTCCTTCACACCTTTCCGTTCATTTCATTTTTGCCCTACTTAACAGTGGGTCAGAAAATTTCATTTGAGCTGAGAAGCAGGTACTACACTCTGATCCTTGGTAGAATGATTATACAGGCAGAGCAGGACAGATTTTTGTTTGAAGACTTTAGACATTTAACTAAGTAGCCAAAAAATAAATACTGATTGATGTTTAAAATGTAAGGGAAATTAAGAAATGCCAAGATATTTACTATTTACTTTAAAGTTCCTTATTTAAAGGATTGCGACAGATAAAAAGGAAAAAGTTTTTCAATTAATAATCTTACCCGTAAGACTTGCAATTCTCTTGTGCTGTTGGTTTTTTATCTGGATCATCTTGTTGGACAGATCTGATATTAATGGTGGTTGGCTGGTGGTACCATTACAACGGCGATTATCTATACAGAAGAAAGCGAATAAAAATAGTTTAAAGAATATTTTTTCCTGTGGATCAAATCAAGCAAAAAAATAAGACAAACATCATGTGGAATGATTTATAATTCAATGAGGTTTTATTTCTTTGTTAAATCTTATTTTCCCCCCCGACAAATTCTGGTGGATATCATCTCAAATTATTTTTCTAAGAAAATTCAATTTTCCAAACGCAAACTAATTTAAATAAATCTGTTGTGTGATTTGAAAGCAGAAAGGAACCAAAGAAATTCAAACTGAAATTGCTCGGCAGAAAAAGAAAACTGTACAAATTCGGTTGTCTTGGAATTTAAAAATTCAGTATATATACTCACAAATAGGTCACACTTTTTTTATGCAATTGCCTCTTCCAATAGTCTTGCATCACATATCAAATAAAAGCACTCAATCTGAGCTGCTCATATTTACCATTTATTATCTGATTTACAATGAAAGAAAATCATTTTCAAGTGAATTTAGGACTGAAGCAATTACCAGTATCCAAATTTTCATCTAACACAGAGCAGTTCCACACTTAATAAGTAAATACCATGCAATTACAACCAATCACTTTTCTTATGTTTTAATATATGTAAGTAAAATTTTGAAATAAAGGTAAATATTTGAAAATATTTAATAAATATTAGTTATATTTACATTTAAAAAGGGCCAATTCCCTGGATTATAGTGTGAGCTATCTGCGAATCAACCACAAATACCCACTTTGACAATCCCAAACTAAGGGTGTGACCTATAGACAAGTATATGTGGTACATTGTTACATCAATAAGTCTATAGACTAATAATGAAAAAAAAAAACATTTAATCTAGACGTTTTTTGATAATTCTTTTCCTTGTCAATGCACTTAATTCTGGAATGCTGGAATTATTATTAATATTCCAAGTGTCATTCAGAGGAACTGATTGAATTCATTTGCCATGTTAGATTTTTTCAGTCAATCCATTCTTCGGTAGAAGAATGTGGACAGAAAGATTTTAAGATAATGATGAAAAATTTTCTGTCCAATGCTAATAACAAAATAATATCACAATTATCTAAACAGCTTCTGGAAATAAAGAAAGTAGAATTGGTCAACTGAATTTAAACTCTGGCTTAGTTTGCAGTATCAACTTTCACACTTATGTTTTTGGGATAGGCATCAATCAATCTCTTCTCCCTCACATGTATGGGTTAAATAGTAAAGTACATTGAGTTTTCTCTTCCAACACAATTCTTATCACTTAATTATCTCTCATATCAATATTTCCAATTTGTGTGTGAATTTTTTTAATTTCCATGTTTTCTACCCATGTAATATAGCTGGCATTACACATTACATTTTAAGCCTACTAACAAAGGACATGATTTCTACTATTTAAATGCTTTCCAACCAACTACCATAAGTAATTTTAGTTCATTTTTAGGAATGTGCTTTAAATGTTGACACCTGTAGATATAGTGCTGAACAGTTCTTGGCACAGCTCACTCACAAAAAAAATCTGACTAAACATCAGATTTTGGGGGATGACATTCCATCTTGCTCCTGCCAAGAACCTATCAGCACCCCCTCATACTATTAATAAGGGTCAGATGATGATGATGAAGTTGTTCCTAGTGATTCTCTATCAGCAGACACATATGGTGTGAAAAAGCAAATAACATAAAATGATTCTAAAAATGTTTTAATAACTGAAACTATTTCTTACTGTTCATTGTGGTTGGGAGCTCAGGAAGAATTGACATGGCAGGAGGTTTATTTAACAATCTTCCTTTCATTTTTGTGTTCAGTGTACGAGCTGTATTGAAACGATTTGTGCGGGCTACAAGAGCTGCCTGCCAAGGAATCTGAAAATAAAAAAAGAAATGTGGAAAAAACATTTAAAATTGTTTTTAATTATGTGTGTACTTATACAGTTGGGAGGTGTGTGGATGTGTAGCCTATGTTTACAAAATCTAGCCAAATGGATAAAAAAAAAAAAAAAAAACGATACCTAAGGTTTAAAATGAATTTTAAAAATTAAAGATCTTTCTAGAAGGTTTTATTTTAGTTTTAATTCCAAGCTAATAGATTAAATCTCCAATAAACAAAATACTTTGCTTTATTTCAAACCAAACTTAAGTTGATTGGAATCATTTTTTTCTGGTTATCATTAAAATCTATAAAATCAGCTATATTGACAAATCTGTCAGCACAACATAATTCTCTTTATTAAAAAATCTTTCAAAATTAAATACTTTCTGTAACATTATTTAGGAAAAAATTAGCTGAGTTAATCTGAATTGAAACAAATATTACTTACTTTTAGTTTTAAATATCGCAGAAAAGCATTTTTTTAACACAGAGGTGGGTGTTTTTTTGGCGTGTTGAATGATGTATTGACAGCCTGATGTTTGGGAAATTTAAGTAAGGAGGAGATAATTGAAAAAAAAATTACATGACAAATACAACAAAGCCTTTTTTATATCATTTTTTTCACTACCCAGTAATCTTAAAAATTTTAAATATTCAAAGCATTCTAATATTTTATTAAATTTTAAATATTTTGGTCCTACTTACAAAGACGCTTGTTGAGAAAATGTTGGAAAATTACCAATAAATTTTAATTTGCTATAGTTACTACTCTTATTTTTTGATAATGGATGTCTGTATTTACAAAAATTGACATTTATACACACAAATTCAAAATTCTTTTTAAAATACTGAGATCATTGAATTGTAGTAAGCTATTCCATTTATGATTAGTAAATACAACATTAATAACAATATCACGCAACTACTACAAATACATAATTTTATAGATTTATAAATTATTCTAATTAAAATTTAAAAAGATGGAAACAATTCTTGTTAATATTCATTATTCATTGAAAAAATGTTTTCTTAAAACAATAGTGACCATAATATACTTTAATCATAAAAGCAATTAAATGTTTTTCTAATTAAATGTCTTGGTTTTATTGCATTTTTTATTTTACGATTCAGAATAGATTTTCTATAACTGAGAATCATGTTTGACAAAAAACATTTGATGATTTAAATTCAAAGAATCTTTCATTATAATTAATATAAACATTAAACAATGCAAAAAAAAAAATTTTCAGAATTTCATAAAATTAAATAAGTGGGGGTAAGAGATATAAAAAAAAAAAATATTTTTACAAAGATTTTCTTAAAAAGAAACATTTAATTCATTTGTGAATAAGTCTTGAAACTTTCATTAAAATCTTGTTTGATTTTAGTGAAAGTTTCAAAACTTATCTGATTTTTGCAGGAATTTTCAAATCAATGTGTTTTTCATTGCAAAAAGATGCTCAAATTTCCCATACAAATTTATGGTCATACATTGAGAAACAAGAGATATTTCTATTTTTAATTTTTTTTTTTTAGTTTTTAGCGATCACTACTTAATTTGATTGTTTTTTATCATTTCATACAGTGCGATATTTGAATATATACATGAGCGTGTGGGTTTGTTTTTTTTTGTTTTTGTTTTTTTAATACCGCTTCCCATGCTAAAAAAGATATTTTGTTTCTTGCAGACTGGATGTTACTTATAATTATTGTGTTTAATATCTGTTATCTTTCTTTACAGTTAATAAATGTTCAAGCGTATTCTTGTGTTTTTACAATTTTCTCATAGTTATTTGAAATATAAAGCTAAAAATTACACATGTATAAATATATAAGCTTTCCAAAGAATTCCTCATTTTACCTAGTGTTTCTCCTCCTTTATCCTCCAATTCACACAAATGCATATAGTGTTGTATAATTAGCATATTACCTTCTCACAAAATAAGTTTTTATAGTATCTATGCTTCCATGGCCTTCAAGTCCCGCCAATGTAGGGCATCTCAGATTCACCTCTAGCTTTCATGGCAGCCTCATTAAATTGTCTTAGTAGTGATATATATATATATATATATATATATATATATATACACAAGAGAGAGAGAGAGAGACACACATACTTTCAAAAAGCCAAAGAGAGGGAAAAACCTTACATTCTTTGTTTTTAACAAAACACTTTATCTAATTAACTCTTTAGTCTTCTTTAGATATAAAGTTCATTTCCACTTTTATTTAATTTATTGTAATAACTATTTATACAAAGTTTAAATACTTACAGATATTTTCTACTTAAAAGCCATAAATTAAAGAATTTGTGTTCTGTGACCCCAGCCTTGACAACCAATGTAAAACATGAGATAAATCAAATCTGAGTGTGTGTTTGAAAATCAATGTGGAGGGCAGAAGTCAAATGAACCAAGATGGTAGCTGTCAAAACCACACAAAAACTGTTTTTATCAAAATGTTTCAACCAATTAGAACTTTGATCTTCTTCAGATGTGGAAATCATTTCTTGTTTTAATTCCTTTGATTTTTTTGTGTCATGTTTCATCATTAAATGAGTAATCCTGGCTCTCCGCAAATTTTCGTCTTTTGTTGCTCTCGGCAAGGCTTCCAAAGAGCATTTTTTTTTATCTGCTAACTGTTGGATTCTCCATATATATTTAAAGATTTATTCATGAAAATAGTAAGGATTTTCAATACAATATATTATAATTTTTGACACTTTGAGTAGACTGGTGTAAAATTAATACTGACTGAAGAAAAAATAGGAAATTTACTCAAACAATAAGGAAAGCTTATCAATGACAAAAATCACATTTTTTTTTTATATGTGAATTTCTTCCAATCTTCCTCTCATGAATAGCACACAAATTCAGATGATAAAATTAACCTGCTATCTGTTTCCACACACTTTAAAAACATGGCATTGTGTAAAAAATGCTTACAGGTTTCTGATGATCATTTTATATTTTCAAAGCTGTTGGACATACAAATATAAAAGCTGACTACAGGCTTATTTACAGAATATCATGATTGTGGTTGTTATATGAAAGAAGTAGAGATAAGGCTGGGAATCCCCCAGTATGCATAAAAAGCAACTGTCCACCCATTATCATGATGCAGCTTACTCAATAATATAAAATTTCTAAAACACATGATGCCCTGGTCATCTCCAAGCAATCATAAATGTGGGTCATCGTAAGTACCTATAAATTGCACAATGTCTCCAAGAGGGTATTAAAGGCAAAAATCTTACATCGGCTTCATCAGCCTCAGGAACATCCACCTCTTCCTCTAGGGTGTCAGTATTGACAGTGCTGCTAATCTGAGAAGCACTGTGAACATGTTCATCTAGGAGGTCTCCATGGTGATCAGTGCTGCAGGTAACATTCACCTCGGGGCTGCTGTCAGGAGAGAGATGGTGACTAGGACCAGTTGAAGAACTCATATTGTCCTGAAGGAAATTTATACAAACATTTTAAATTAGTGCTTATACAAGATTTGAAATGCAATTGCAGCAAAAATGCATTTCCCACCCAGCCCACTTTAAATTAAGCTGCCAAAAATTCACCTTTTGCCTTTAATATAGGTCAACACACAGGTATTACTATTATTATTATTTATTTTTTTTTTAAATCAGTATCACCCCATGCAAGGCAAGTGAAGCCACTAAGACAAGACACGAGGGGCTATACAGGACGTAGAGGAATTAGGAACAGAAGAAACAATAATAATGAGCAGAAAGAGAAAAAGAGTAATCAAGATGACAGTAGATAGTGATTGGCATTGCATTTAAATTTTTGCAGATTAAAGTTGGCTGTAAAGCAGGGAGCTGGAAGGGAGTCCCACAAGTGAGAAGTGCGAGAAAAGAAACTGTTAGCATAGAATTTATGGCTACATCTAGCCACGTCAACTGTAAATTGATGATGTCTTGACCCCAGTCTACTACTGCACTTAAATTCAAAAAGTCTAAGTACCATTGTGAAGAGCGATATTTATTCTGTTTAAAATACAGAAATGTGGCACAAGGCGAAAAAGGATTGGGGAAAGGACGGTCTTCTTCTGTCTTAACTAGATTTGAAACAATATTCCTTACACCAAAACAACACATTGCCTTTCTTACTACAACCACCATAATACCTCTTTGTCTCTATGAAGATACTAACTAGTCCCCATATTTACAATTCATTGGGTCTGTGGGGAGGGGGAATAAAACAACAATTTAAAAAAATAAACCCCAATGAGTATTTACAATATGCATACAAAAACTATTTACAAGAAACTAAAGAAAATGAGATTAGTTAAAACCCCCACAGTTTCCTAAATGTGACAGAAACATCACTTCACTGGTCAAATCAATGCGGGACTATAATAGTATAAACCATTCATTCATCCCAATCACCACACTGACATGCACTCATTCAGACACAACAACAAATACGAAAAAACTCACACGAAAAAGGCGCTCAAGATCCACCAGTGAACTGACATCACTGACCTTTTAAAGGAGGGGATGGGAATTAAATTTTAAAGAAAAAAACAAATGGGGACAGAAATAAAAGGGGGCCAATGAGCATACATACCCTAGCTAAGTTAACTGGAAAAAGGAAATCTAAATCATCAAAATGGAAAACCTAATCAGCCTTATTTCAGGATGGGTTGCACAAGTTCAACCCAGGAAGAACGAATATCCTGATGCCTAACCGCATCAATGTTAGCTCCTTTCACACGACACACAATTGAAGTGAGGCTTGCCTTTCGGTTCTAATCTTGACTTTAAGCTGATGCTTAAAGTACAAGATCAGTTGGGAAGAGGTGAACTTTCGCCCATAGAATCCTTCTGACTGTCGTCCAAACCACTCATAACACCTAGCAAGCAGTGGATAAATACTGTTCAGCTTCAAGTGTGCCACATTCTAAAAAAAACGGACTGAAGGACAAAGGACTTTCCTGCAGCATGCGGACCATGAGGCCTTCAACAAACTTGACCAAGGCTGGTTGATCTCAAGGTCTCGACCTCCCACTACAGTTTGAGAATTCTCCAAGCCAGCTGAGCAGAGTCTCTTTTGCATCCAGTACCTATCACCAGCCAGGTGAGTGATGCCTCATCGCTATTGAGGCATTTCAACCCGGCGCCAAGGCCATATTGAGCGAGCCTGCTGCCTCTGGCCAAACCGAGCTCACAATCAAATCATCATGCACGGCCCCCTGACTAAAACTTGATATAATGCCCCACGCGACAAAATCAGAAGAGGCGCGCCCAGAGCACACGACATTCACGATGCCAATGCACACTTCTCAGGGATGGGAAGTTCCCACGGGCGCCTTCCTTCCAGAAGGCGCCGCCCCTCATCCGAATCGCGACACATCGGGATTGCATAAACCGCTTTCAGATGGATGAAGGCAACAGATCTTTTTGGCAGCCTTGCTCCCCACAAGAAGGAGAACAAGAGCCTCACTAACGCCAGTAAAGTGTCACACGGAAGTGGAAGCACAGAGAGTCGGTAAAGGAGAATCGGGTAGATGTGAAACACAAACTTCCGCCCCCTTTAAGGAAAGATTCCTCCGAGACCACAATTTAATTGCGTATCTCCAACTGGAGATCAGGACCAAAAAGAAATCTTTGACCGAGAATTGGAAAGGTCCGGAAGAGAAACTCCTTCACGCATTCCAACCGCAAGCCAACAGACTTAGTGATCTTTGGCCCCTGTCCATTAACAAAAATTTTGATCTTGGCACCTGGCATCCATTCCCTATCTTTTTTCTCCAAATCGACACAAGGAAAGGTAGGGACCGGATCTTTTAACTTATAAGGACAACCAAGAACGCTAAAGGCTGGAGCGACAACCCTGACAATGGACTAAAGGCCCGGATCTGTTCATTCATTTCCACCAGCGCATGGGGGTCGATACAAAAGCACGCCCGAAAATCCAGAAAATGATGGTCAACCCTATCAAGGCCTTGGACTGATCTAAAAGCGCTTCAATTTTGTTTGATGACACATCACAGCACAAGTCTGTTCAGGGCCAATCAGATAGACAGGACAGCCTGCAAACGGGTTAGCCAGGATCTTAGCCAAAATCTTTAACTCTGTGTTTAACATAGTTAAAGGGCAAAGTTACCTAACCCATCCCCACCGCTTTTATTCTGGCGTAACAACTTGATCACGCCTGGTTGGGGGGTATAGACCCTCGCTTCATCCAGTTGAAAATCAGTGCCAGCAGCGAACAAAACGGGCGACTGCCTCTAAGTATCTATCTCTCCACGGAAGACCATCACATTCACTGGACCATCTAGCTGCTTCAGCTCTAAGGCAGGGAAAGTCAGCCAAATAGGAGTCGAACTCGGCCCAGTGAAAAGCTCCTGAAAGAACACATATGCCCTCGCTTGTTGTCACGATCCGCATTGAGCCGCGATATGTCGCCAGCTTCCTCTTCAATTCTCGCGTGCCATATCAGAGGACATTCTTTTCACCTAGTAACTACCAGAGCTTGATCATCTTGATAATCAAGGAGGCCAACTCTGCCTTAGCTAAGGCTATTTCCCACTATCACGGGATCACCGCCCGATCAATCTAATCTTGGGCGCTAATTATCAGGAGACTATAATCAGCAGCAAACGTTTGATTTTGGATTTTAGACCAGGCATTCCCCTACAACCGCCCCCGTCAGTTCCTCTGTATTATTAGTAAAGCTGGTCCCGGAAATCTTGCTCACCAAATAATGATGAGATTTCCAGTAGCCAGTTCTATCTTTTATGATCCAGAGATCTCATGGAAAACTTGGACACCCTAAGAGCCCTACATCGACTCTCCTAATTTCGGCCCAGTTCACTATTTGTCCAAAACTATTTAAGATCAAACAGGTAAAGTCCCCTAAAATGGTTTCACGCCCCGGATGTTAGTACCTTCAATTTGTCCCTATGCGATCTATATCGGGATCAAGGACGGCATTCCAATCACCCATAAAACTTGATGTCGCCAAAACGGCTCGATCTGCGAAAAAAAAATTCAGAATGGACATTGGGCGATAAAATGAGATTATCCTTTATGGTAACGCCCAGCACGTTAAAGACAAGAACACACGCAGCATTCAATGACTTGCTCACCAACCAAGAGACACCCCTCGAAATATCCATCAAAACATGCTGAATAGAGGGAAAAACCCCTAGACAGAATGTTCTCATAGTCACTAGAAGAAAAACGGGTCTCTTGTACACAACAGATATTCAAGACGCTGAAGATCGCGAGAGAGCCTCTATCTGCGAGACTCGACCTCAGGCCTCGGCATTCACACTTGCTAACCAGAGAGCCATGATGGAACCGATTAGGGTTGCTCTCCTGCACTATGTTTCTTCCCATTGAGCCTGTACCCATTCACTAACGATGGTGCCATCAGGAGACAGGCCGCCAATGTCCAAGGGGAACGTTAGCTTTAAAGCTCTATACAGGAGGGTGAACGAAATCGGGAACCTCCTGAACAAAATTGTTGTAGTTTTTTGAGCAAAAAACATCGGTGGAAACATGGTGAAGGTTTCATTTGCATTGGCCATCATGGCCCATATTTGCTGACCAGCAACCCCCGATCTCACCACAGTGAGAACCCTTCTTATGCTTGGGGAAATTCCGGGGTTCTCCACATCTAAATTGTTCAATTTCCGGAAATTTAAAGAGTTTTAAATCTTTTAATTTTTTTTGCATGAAGTAATGCCTTTTCTTCTGTCTCCTTTGAAATTCGCACACATCTTCCCTGTATTGTATAATGGTCTAGATTTGATTTTCTTTTTCTGTAGTGGCTTCAGAAGCATCCAAGATGGACTTCTTTGGCGCTTTTGCTGTTCGTGTTTTGATGGTGAGGTTTTGGGGGTCTTCATGGGAGAATGTTTAGGTGATGTTTTTTAGGAGATTTTGTTACAGGTCCTTTTTTTAGTGCGGTCATTGATGAATCTACTCCCTAATAGGTTTAGTGATAGGGGGAGGGACCATGGAATGATGTTTAGTGCCAGGGGAAGATGGTGCCGACAATGAGGTGCCAGATTTCTCTCCCAGGCCCTGTCGTTTTGGCTTTTAAGATCTTCCTTTAATTTTATAAGTTTTTCCTTCTTCTCGTAGGAATTGGATTAATTTTTCTCGGAGTTTATCCGAGCTGGTCAAGAGTCGCCTTTGCACTGGTAGAGGGAGGGGGCTGTTCGTGTTTTTCCTGTTTTTGTTGTGGAACGAGGTTCCGCTGCCCGGATCTTTCCTTTAGTCTTGCTAACCTACTGCCATTCCTCTCTCCTTTCCCTAACCGCACTAAGCGCCGGGCAAAGGCTCATCGGGAAGGGATTTGGACCCAACAGGGGGATTTTCCACACCGTCCCGTCGCTGGCATGCCCACTACAGGCGGACGGATGAAACAGAAGGCGGGGGCCAGAACCACAGAGGCCTTCATCTCTGTGCAGGAAGAGGAAAGGTGACCAGTCTTTTCCACACTTCCAGCATGCCTTTTACGACCTATCACGATTATCGGCATCTTCTGGCCCTTTACATCCAGACAGTTGGGGATGGAACGGAAGGCATCTTGATTGATCATGATCTCAAGCTCCACCCCGGTCAGGTCATCTGATCTAAGACTGAGTATCTGGCCAAACTGGCCCCAGATAAGCAGCCAAGTGCTTTCCGACAATCTGAGGAGGAACCTCATATACTGAAACCTTGGTCCTCCGCCTGCCTTTACTCGGTTCTCAGAATCAGGTCTTTGGTGATAAGATGAGTAGCAGCATCTTCATTAGTCGGCAGTGGGTAACAGTACGCCCCACATAAAATATCCTTTCCCTTTCACAACCCTCTGAGGTTTAATTCCCAGAGAATTTAAGGTTTTTAACAGTGTCTTTTGTGGATCGACAAATCTTTGGCGCGAACTCTCTGTCGCACTCACAAAGACTGACACAATTCTTTTTTCAACCTTCTTTAATACAAAGGATTAGGCAAGAGCCCATCTGCTGTCACCAGATGTGCGAGCTCTTGGTTTCTCGAGGAACTCCGTAATGTTGATTTTTGCACCGGGGGGACTTCCAGCATGAGGGCGCCTCCGCCGCTGTGCACCATCTTGAGATGTCTGACTGGTTGCTTCTTGGCTGCCACCATATTCTTGTCATGTTGATTTTTTGTACCATCAGCATTTTGGCCGCTTTCGGCCACCATAACCTGGTCTGGGACACTAGAAACAATGCCACTATTTTGGCCATTTGAGGCCACCATACTTTTTTCTGGACTCTTATTATTATCACAATTAGAGGACTCATTTGAGGCCACCATACTTTTTTCCGGACTCTTATCATTATCCTCACAATTAGAGGACACCATACATTTTTCTTCAACTACAGGGCTTTCTTCTAAATTTTTATCAGGAGGGCCCTTTTTTTTCTTTTTTTTGGAACCAAACAGGTTCTTTTTCACAGTTCTCCTGGGAGCCATTTTTTTTAAAAATAAACAAGACTTTTTTTTTTTTTTTTTTCCTTCACATAAAAAGCAACAAATAAAAGTATAAATTAAACGAAAGATAAATAAATCACAATAACAAAAAGAATTTTAACAAGACAGAACAGTTAAAGACGCAAAAAGTACGCTAAAAACGATAAAAATACGTTCAAAAAATAAAAACAGCTAACAATTACAAATTACAAAAAACAAAGAGTACGGAAATGAAAATCACATTTTAAAACGGAAAATAAACAAAAGGTATCTTTTTTTACAAAAAAATAAAAAAACAAAAAAATGCCAAACGAGTTCACAAATACAATATGGCTGCCACTAGAAAAACTAGTCTACAAACTTTAACGAAAACACGTAAACTAAAATAAAGAAGAACTAACGAATAATAAAATAAAAGCGGAAAATAAATGCAAAAAATTACAATAAACACAGGGAAAACTTAAATAAAGGAACACAGAATATATAACAGTTATTTAACAACGAGAACAACAAAGAAACAATAAAAACACGTAGAAATAAAAATGTAAACAAAGAAAAAACGAGGGCAAAATAAACAATGAAAAAAATAAAGTTTTGAAGGGAAATTACTGAAAATTAAAAGGAAAAAATTAAAACTTAAAACACGTATTAAAGAAAATGAAAATTAATAATAAAGAAACAACAAGGGATAAATTAAAAAGGTAAGAGGGGGAGGGAAAGAAAGAAAAATCAAATCAAACTTTTTTGGCAAAAAAGTCAATAAATGGAACTTAAAATTAAAATAAAAAGAACTTAACGTGAACAAAAGTTGAAATTAAAAAACAGTTCGTAAACGCTCGCAAATGCGTCTGACGTCTGGCGCCGGTCGTACAACGTCGGGAAAAAAAGAACTCTCCTCAAGGAGGTACCATAGTGAAGCGCTCATCCAAACAATTACCATGAAAGTATTTATAGAAAAGTCAGAGAGAGGCAACCTTATGGTAGTGGGCAAAATGATAAAAATATAGTTTTAAGGTATGCTATAATATTTATGGATTAAAATGCTCAATATCAGTGATAGAGCACATGTAAATATAAAAGTGGACATTGAGGTCAACACCCAGAGGCAACAGTCTGTTTCATGCTTAAATGCTATCTTCAGGTCATAAAAGAACATAAAAAAAGACATATTGACCTGAAGATTGTGTTTAAGCATGAAATAGACTGTTGCCACTGGGTGTTGATGCCAATGTCCACTTTATTTATATATCTGACATTTTTTATTAACAATATATTTAGTGGGGAAACATTTTAAAATAAGAACATTTAAAAAAAAAGGAATTTTTACTTAAACACATGTATTCACTAATATATATATATATATATATATATATATATATATATACAATTGATCTGATGTGGTACCTTGACTTTATGAATGTAAATGCAATACTAGATTGGCAGCTATGCATATGTCCATAGTTCCCAACAATGATGATGGGAAGAGGCAAACAATTTTTGGAAAATCATATACAATAAAAATTAAGATAAAAGAAAATAGAAATACAAAAGAAAAATTAATAATTGTTTCCATACCCTGGACTTTCTTCTTTCTGAGGAGCTAGCTGCTTGCAAAGGCGTGACTGTCAAACATTCTTCAACCTTTTTGTTATTGCCATCTTCCTTATAATCTTTATTCTGAAAGATAAACGTATAATGTGTCAATAAAGGAAAAAATGCATTTTAAATTTTGTAGTTTAAAAAATAATTATGCCCCTTGTTGCATAAAGTTCAAGTAAAGGTTTTTATGGTACCCAAGAAACAATTTAAGACATATGTTATATATAATTATCTGCCAGTAAATATTAATTTTTATTCCTAACCAACAATTCAAAGCTTTCCTATAGTAAATTAATTTAGGAAATTTAGTTTCATATTACATAAGGATGAATAGTGCCAAGGAGATTTCCAGAGAGATCGTACTATGTGCTGATCAATTTAGCATTTAAAAATCCTCTCAAGTATTATCTTTTAAATGGCGGATGTCCTCAATTTATGCTCTCTTCAAAAGCAACAGATATAATCAATTAACAATTTAAACTATTTCCAGTGATATAGGAAACATTCAGTCATGCTTAAAGTCTAAATAATGAATTGGCTACTCTAAGATTCTTGATGAGACATCATTTCTTGGAGTATTTGTCTGCAAATTCAGCTGGAAGCACAATACAAAGACTACGTAGTTGTGGTATGGATTATCTCCCCTTATATGTATTTCATATTGAAGTTCAGTAAGACACGCTTCAGTTAAATTATACCTGCATTCATTTTCTCACTACAATTTATTCAACTTAGAAATCAACATGGAACATTGTATGAGACAACAAAGATTCAACATCAACCCTGACCATACCTTAGGTGCTAAGCAATGAACCCATTCGATTTGTAGAAACATTTAAAGTGGTGCAACCTCACTAATAAATAGACAAGACAAGGCTGATAACAAACTGTCCCCATCTATTTACAGAATAATTTCAGACTCCTCTTCTTATGAAGAAACTATAAATTTGCTGCACACAGTTTACACTCAACACCTACTTGCCACTCGAAAACAGAAAAATAGTGAATCACTTGTGCCTTACCTAACTGAATTGAGAACACTGTCCAGTAGAAAACACATCATTCTAAATTGAATAAAGCTTCAGTTAAGTTACACCTGCATTCATTTTCTCACTACAGTAGTACATACATACTTCTCAAAGTGAAAAAAGGAGAAAAAATATAAACAACCTGGTGCAAAGAATGTACAGCTCCATTATATATGGAATGCTTCAAGGAGTATCATGTTGTTAAAAAGAACATTTGGTTTAGTTCACTTTTCCCTTTATTTTTATAATCTAAAAAGAGTTAAAATAGCATTTTTTTTCATGTATAATTCAATTCAAAATAAGCATAAAAATTACACTTTAAAAATAATTTATTTCTTTTAATTATTTAGCATGCACATTTGTGCAACCTTTTCCCCTTCATATAAGGGTTAATCTTTTTGCTGGTAGGAAACACATCCACAACAAGGTACATTATGAAAAACCTTAAGCAATCAAAAATTCAAGTCAAAAGTTCCAGAACATGTCTAAAAAAGATGAAAATAATCCTTAAAATAGATAAAAATGAAAATGTTATGATTAGCTCCCCATACCCAATAAATTTGGTCTTATATTTCCTCTCCCCACCACCTCACACATAGACAGCAGATTTCTGTTACCTACCAACCACTGCTGGTGAGTTGACATTAGCAACAACTGCAGATTGATCTCATAATAAACATTTATGCAAACAATTTCACAGCTATATATGACTTCAAGAAGTATGTATGTGTTGTTTTTAATTCTCTATCTAGACTGACTGCATTTAACCTTTAGAACTCTGCATTATTCATTAATATTACTTTAATTTCCACTCAATATGGCAGCTCCTAAACTGCAGTAGCTCTTGATTATAGTCAGTCATTTTCTTGACATAGCAGGACAAGACAACACAACCATGAAATTCACAGTATTTATTTTGTAAATCATCTGAAGTGACAGAAAATTTTTGCTCAATAAACAAAGTTACAGCGTGTTAACGGTTAAATGTTTTTATATATTGAGTTCACAACATCATCATTACAATATCAGCCTGTCTTAATCACCAGTTTTTTAGGGGGTTTTTGTATGTGTACAATGCACCCCAACCACACACACACACATGATATTTCTTTATTTACTATCAAAAAAAATCAAAAAATCACACACATGCAGAACAATTAGAACTTTGCCCAGCCAATTAATCCAGGCCCTGGCAAAATATCCCATAAAAATTTCATTTTTCATTGTGCATTCTAATATGTCTCTAGGTCTTCAAGAAAAGTTTTGGTCACCAATTCCCTGACTTGATCCCAAAATGCCAATTTTCAAAATGGCAGATCACAATACAATCATTAGGGACAAAATTTCAGAAATAGACCAACTGTTTTCCTTCTGTTGGGAAGCAAATTTATTAAGGAGTACTAAACTGTTGATCCCAAAATGAACAGATTTTGAGATTAGATGAGTGGATACCATTAGAGATAGAAATATGATAGACATTATCCTATATACCATATATATACAAGAGTATAGTGCAAGTTTTTATAATCAGTTTTTTTTTGTTTTTGTTTTTTTTACACAAAAATAGGGAGTCGCACTATACACAGGGAATTTTTTTTTTTTTTTTTGAAGAAACTAAAATTCATGCATTTTTGGTGACTGGTTGCACTATACATAGGTAAATTTTTGAGTCATGCAAAAAAAAAATGCAGATCGTACTACAAAGAAGTTGGCTTATACATGAGTATATACAGTTATTTATTGTTACTGATTTTGCCCCAAGCTAAATGCTTTTTTATTTAGAAAAAAAGCGTTGATATTATTCAGGAATAGTGCTATTTATTTATAATTTGTGCTTGAAATTGATTCTTAAGTGAAACAGTAAATGCTTAATATTTTAAGTTTTTTGGTCAGCATTTGTTTTTGATATCTTACCAAAATAACAGCCAAAAGATCAAAGTTCTATCATAAATGTTAGGTGATACTTGTTACTGTCCTTTTGCTAAAAAGGAAAACTGACTTTAAATTAAAATGTCCTCCTTGTATTGTACTTGTAAAATCCACATTACCCACAATGCATAAATAACTAAATTATTTCAGTTTTATAATTTGAAACTCCCCACCCTATTCAAATTTCCTGAAAGTTTGTGTATATCAATTGCACACAAACATCAAAATGCAAACATCATTTTCAAACAAACAACTACACATTTCCCAACCTAATTTTATAGAGTCTGCTAAAAATATTATATACACCCTTCAGGCAAGGAAAAACTTGTATAGATATTGTAATACTAAATTTATTCAGATATCATGTGATTAATACGAGTTACCTCTGGACTTTACAGTCACAAGAGTTACTCAAAATGGTGAGATATTTATTAGTATGGGAAACTACAGCTTGGGCAATGTTGACCAAAGTGTCCAGTGGGATGCATTTTCAATTTCTTGTCAAAGGGCCGCCAATGTAATGCCATCTGTCAAGAAAATATTGTACTACAGTAAACAGTGTTATTGCTTTTCCTTTCCTGAAATGTGTATACATTCTATGGCGGACTGGATTTACAAAGAAATTTAGGCACTACTTAAATAGACCGGTCCACTCATAAAAAAAAAAAAAGTAGGAAAAATTAAGGGAGAGAAATAATTTTTTACATTAGTATTTTGTAGACATCCCTTAGGCTACAACACTTGTTAGAATAAAAAAAATATTGATTCATCATCAATTTACAAGGGGAGGTGTCCTGTTTATAATGTCAATACAGTATCAAATTGATCCCTGACTTTTACTGAGTTACTGAAGTTAAATTAAGTCACTAAGCTGTTATTTACAAGTAAGTTTGTAAATGTGCTGATATTGATATCTGCATATATTTTAAATTTTCTGAATTTTTAAACATTATTTTTAAGAACAACTTTTTTGTATGGGATTTTTTTGGAGGAAGCACATGCACAAATATTTGAGGTTCATAATTATTTATCTTCAATTAAGAATAAATGGATACATAATTTTATTAAATTATGTAAATTTTTGTTCTTTATGTAAAAATGTATATATTCATTTCTTCGATATTTAAGAAAACTTTTTTTGAAACCCCATCTCAAAAACTCTGTTTTAATGCACAGAACAGATAGGGCCAATAATACTGTAAGAATCAGAGATCAATTTGATACTGTATTGAAATTATAAACAGGATCCATATTTCTAAATCAATATCAAATCAATATTTTTTTATTCTTTTGCAGCCAAAGTAATCGACAAAAATTATTTACCTCTAAAATTTTCCCTATTTATTATGAGTGGACCATTATATTTAAGTAGTTCCAAAATTTCAAAAGAGAAAAAAAAACAAAAAAAACCCTAAAATCTTACCTGATGTGGTTCAGATTTTGTATTGCAATGGCCATGTTCATTTCCTTTATGTTTCTTATTTGCATAAAATTCTGGCCCATGGACAGTTTTCACATGTTTGCGGAGTGAGCTGGGATCAGTATAACGTTTGGTACAGTTGGGGGCTTTACACACATAGGGTTTCTAAAAGAGATAAAAATTAGATAGGCATCACTCACACAACTCTAGAACCACTAGTAGTGACAAGCTGAAAGTTTGTGCACTTTTTAAATAACAAAAAGTTTAAAATTTATCAATTATCAATAGGAGACGATAGGTTCACCTATCGTTTGGTTCAAACTCCACTCCAGTCTTTTGAACAGGAGTAGAGGTTTATCCCTTGTTTTCTGTTTCGGAGTGATTCTAAAGTCTACTTCAAATTATATACTTCTATCACCTCCACCTAAACTCTGAAATTTTATTTATTAATGGTTTGTTTTTGTTTTTTTTTATCAATAGGAGTACATACATTCATCTATCAGCTGGTTCATACTCCTCCCCAGTCTTTTGAACAGGAGTAGAGGTTTATCCCTTGTTCCCTTTTTAGGACTAGGTTTCTGGTTCCTTCTAAAGTCTTTTTCAATCTCTTTCACTTCCAGTAGCTCCTATCATCTTAAATGGCTTGATTGGGATGAATTAATTTAAAAAAATAAAAAAAAAAAACTAATCAAATACAGAGTACAAAAATATAGCATTGTCTTTGTGGCTCACAATGCTGGAAATGAACTGAATCAGTTCATATATTGACTATCAGTGTTTTCTGCTTTTCAATAAAAAAAGATAACTTCCTCTTCTGACAGACTGTAAACTGTAGAATGGATCAGACAAAAGATTACAGGAAATAAGTTCAACAGTCTGAATAATTTGTGAATTTTTATTCATTTTTAAAATTATAATGTGATGGAAATTGTTGGTCATTTGTAATCTTTATCATAGACGGCGGCAAAATAATCTTTGTCCTTTCTGACAGGTTTAAGAACCGATCAGGCAATAATAGTCCTATCATCAGCATAGATAGCGACTTGAGAACTGATAGCATCAGGAAGGTCGTTGATGAAAATTAAGAACAACATAGGTCTAAGGATAGAGCCCCGCCGGAGGACACCTGCACTAATGCAAAAAGATCTAGAAGAGTTGTCATTCAAGACAACTTTCATTTTGTGAATTGATAAGAAAGATTGGATTAGTTAAAGAATTTGTCCAGAATGTGTGAATAAGACCAGCATGTCAAACCCTGTCAAATGCCTTCGAGATAACCAAAGCAACAGCCCATCTAAAGCTTGATAGACTCTTAGTTAACCTAGAGAAGCAAAAGCCATATTGCTTCTCTGAAAGAAGAACCTGCAAGGTGAGATGCTTAACCAATTCAGAGTTGATTAGGGTTTCTATTACGTTGCCAAAAAGAGGTAGAAGGCTAATAGGCTGGTAGTTAAAGGATTAGACTGTTTTCCTGAGTTCTTAAAGACTGGATCTACAGAAGAGGATTTTCAACAAGCAAGCAATCAAGAAGCAGCAAGGAATTTATTTTCATTTTAAAATTATAATGTGATGGAAATAGGTTATCATTTGTAATGATTATCACAGACCAGTTACAAAAAAAAAAAAAAAAAAAAAAAAAAAAATTTTTTTTATCCTTTCTTACAGTTTAAGGAAACAGACATTGCTCTTGCTTTCGGCCCTAAAAAATGTCCACTGCCCAACATGACACACAACTTATGCCTAATTCTATATTGTCCCTGCCACTTATGGGCATCAATTCCATTTTTACCATTGAAACACTGAGCAATGGACAAGATTAATTTGTTTTGTAATTTGTTGCAAATATTCAAGATACCAGCAAACCTATTGACTTGCTTGACTCATTAACAACCCTATTTAGATCATTTACATTATTTGGACTTTTGTCCTCATCTTTTTCGCCATATTTATCACAATGTTTCGGCCGTTGTATGCTCCGGCCTTCTTCAGGTGGTTGGAATGTCGAACTGAACCCTTTATTTCACTCACTGGGGTAGACTGTTCTAGTTCCACGTGCCATGTTTATTATGGATGTCAGTTATCAGTTATCTCCTGTTAATTTCCCTCTGAAAGTTCTCCACTGCCTTAACCGGGTATTGAACTAACACTGGGTATGAATTTTGCAATATGAGCACTGGTAAAAATGGTTGCTGAAGACATTAGGTTTATAATACTCAGAAATTCATAAGGACACATGGCACAGTGTTGGTTAGATCCAGTGACAGAGTGTGAGTTCAATACCCAGTTAAGGCAGTGGAGAACTTGCAGAGGGAAATTAACAGGAGATAACTGATAACTGACATCCATCAAAAACATGGCACGTGGAACTACCCCAGTGAGCGAAATAAAGGGTTCAGTTTGACATTCCAACCACCTGAAGAAGGCCGGAGCATACAACGTGATAAATATGGCAAAAAAGATGAGGACAATAGTCCGAATAATGTAAATAATGTACATCAGAAATATAGACAAATCTCAGAAATATAGACAAACCCTATTTAGTTTTGAAATAGAAGTGATTGCATATTTTGTTGATCTACAAGTAGTGAAATGGAAAGGACATTTAAAAAGAGAGTGATAATTAATTTATTTTCATTTGTATTCCCAAAAGTTATAGGCAGTGTAATGCAAAATTTATTAGTGCTGGGCTTTCCTTGATATAAAGAAGAAGAAATAATAATTGGTGGCAAAACTTCAGACAACACACAAGATGGAATGCTTTTTTTCCCAATCCAAAATTCTTGCATCTGAAATTGGGGTGAAAAAAAAAAAAAAAAAATCAAACTTACTGCATTAGAGTGAGTTCTGTTCTGATGCTTCGCTCGGTCAGAAGCATTGCTGAAAGCTTTAGTGCACCCAGGAAACTCACACATGTATGGTTTCTCACCGGTGTGGGAACGAAGATGAGTTTTGAGATTTTCCAAACGTGAGTAGGCCTTTGAACAGCCTTCAAACTGCAAATAAGCAAAAGAGGAGAGAGGTGATGAGGCAAGGTGCAATATGTGGATGGCAACTCAGCTGTCATATTAAAAGTAGCAATTTGCATTGGTTTTCTTAGAGGAAGAAGAGGTGAAAAAAAAAACCTACATTCCTCAAATAATTCTAATATTTAATCTGAGAAAAAACATGGAATTTTTGGCAAACCTGGATAAACAGGCCCACAATAAGACAGTGTCAAAAGGATGTTTTTCCCATGATATTGCTTTTTTTTTTAACTCCCTTCACTCTTCAGCAATGTTTATTGTTTTAAAAAGTGATGATTAGACTTGTAATAAAATTTAAACATAAAAATGAATATAGACATTTTCTTTGTTCTAAAGAATTGACAACAAAATTAATGCATACTATTTTTTATATTGTTTATTTACACTTATTATATTATTTATTGGAATGTTTGGCAAAACATTGGCTAATTGCCAATTGACTCAAACTTTATAAAATTATATTTCCTTATAGATGGTTCACACATTTTAACAATTTAGCAAATGAATAAAAATTTTCATATTTATTTCTTTATAAATTAGTAAATGATAAATATTGTATTGAGTTAATTCTAATTGTATTAGCTTTCAGAATGTTGCAAATATAAAACTATTCTTCAGTATTTACTAATTGTTATATTTATATAAAACTATAGTGTTTAATATTTTTGTTACCAATTTTCAAAACATGTACATTTTCATGTGTTTAGGTTTTATTCCAATTCTAATCCTCACTTTTTACAACAATAAATATTGCCAGTTGGTGAAGGTAGTTAAAACAATAGCAGTGTCACAGGAAAAACCATCCTTTTGACACTACATCTTATTGGAATTACATTTATCCCTGTTTGCCAAATTTTTAATGTGCAGAATTGAGAAAGACTGCAATAGAAGCTGGTGGTTCTAAATTTGAGAATGAGATGAATACAATTAACCTTTTATTACTCAGACATAGTAGCAAATTTTGACATAAATTAGTAGAAAGTGATTAAGTCGTTAATTGTATTTTAACATGATGTATAAGTATATTATCAGTAAAAATAATCAAAATTAATGCTTGTCTTGTATCATAAAAACATGTCTTAAAATATATTTCATTATTGGAACAATGGAAGCTAAAAGATTAATGTTGGACATATTATTTAGAAAATGTATAAAGGGAGTTGCAGGTATGAAAATATGTCATCTTAATCCATTTTATTAAAAATAAAATGGCTACTTTATATTGAATGTATTAGAATGAATAATACTGTATTGGCCAGAATATAAAAGATACTTAAAAATGCATACAACTATATATAAAATGGGTTGGTATTATAAATAGAAAGATAAACACTGAAGATATCAAGGTTTAAGATGAATTTGTAAGAAAGGTCTAATAGACTTGATAGTCATGGTAGTTGTTTTTCTCACCATTTACTATTGTTTGTATTTCATTATGCATAATCAATTTTTTTTTTAAACTAATTATTAATTTGATATTAAAATACCTTATGTATACAAATTTACATTAAAAGCAAACATTGAAAGTATATAAAATATATTTATATTAAATATATTGCAAGTGTCCAAATATTTATTTCCTCCCACTGTATATGTGAACTTTTAATTTCTTTTGCTAGTTTAACGTTAAGTCCATCTTGGCATGATGATAAACTCTGGCACCAAGACCTCTGATCAAGAGGTTTTGAGGAGCATGGAACCACCTCTTAATTGATATTGTAGCACCTGTTAAAACTGGCATCAAAGTCCATTTTTATAATAAAAATACCAGCAATAAATTTTAATAGTTAAAAAAAAAAAAAAAGAAAAAAAAAAATGCTGTTAAACAGACAAACGAACCAACCAACAATAAGTTCTTTCTTACCGAGCATTTGTGTGGTTTTTCTCCTGTATGTCGTCTCATATGAACCACCAGCATGTACTGGGCTTTAAAAGGTTTTTCTTCCCGGGTGCATTCTCTCCATCGACACACAAATGATTTCTTATTTGACTGGATGTGATCCTGGTTGATATGCTTTAAAAGAAAAAGAAGCAAAATAGCAAAACTAAAGAATACTCTGTGTGAAATAAGCTGATTCAAAGAGTTGCTTCCCTTTTACATTGTATGTCCTACAGAGACAATTCTCAGGAACTACTGTATAACAAATTACATTCAAATATGTGTAGACGATATTCTTTGGAAAACAAATACAGTGTAACTTCAAAATATTCATCTAATACATAAACATCTATATGGGTCATGTAGCATTTATTCTAAATTACTGGAAAGATCTGCAATACTGGAGATTATATAATGGCTATCAGCATTGTTTCAGAAAATTCTAAAATAAACTTTTTTCCTTCATTTTTGCAGAATTGACTTTCATAGTACGATCTAAATAGATGAGATTTCTTAGTCTTCATAGAAGGAAAATAGGTGTCAAAGAATTAATGTTAAAAAAAGTGGAGTTTTGATATTTTTATCTTTGATTCAATGGCAAAAATGCAACAAGCACTAAAAATGAAAGTCGCAAACCAAATTTAAATATTTGTAATCGCTTCAGAACAATGAAAAATACAATTGTCCCTTCAATGGCATGCTACAATGAAGACAGAGGAAAAAGTACCTGGACAAACCATTTTTGCATAACTACCTTACATGCCCAGGCAATATCAACAAAAATGCTGTTACTCTCATTGTCAACCTTGATAGGCTCTAAAATAAAACTTATATCAATGGAATCATGGATAGCATCCTCTAGCTGTCAGGTTCCTTCAGGACATAAATGATTATGGCTCTCCATAGCTTCCTACCTTTTGTAACTTTTAGCTATGTTTAGCATTTTTACTATCTCTCCCATTCCATTCTGCCATCACTTTGCACAAGCTCATTAGATAAATTACTCAGTTTCCCTGTTCTTCTGGCTTTCTATATATCTTGTGAGTGTCAAATTTTCTAACCCTTCTTTCTTTTACAGTATAATGAAATCTAAAGAATTCACACTAGAGCAAAGGTGGGTAAGCATCTCTTTCAATTATAAATGTTATGATTTCATTCTTCAAAGTGCTACCCATTTGTGGCCTTGAGCCAGTTTAAACTACACTAGCTAAATGGGGAACAATAGTAAAGGTATAAATTAGCCGTTTCCATGCAGGAAACACTTGGCATTCATTGTCCAGTGTTACTGAAATTTATAAAATCTTTTCATGAAAATTCACTTTTTAGGAAATTAGACATCTCAAGTTCACTAAATGTTATCAATCTTTATAATCTTGATGGGGATTTCCTTTCAATCTTTTTAGTTTTTGGTAATGCAAAAAATAACACCTTATGTCATCATTTTCTCTCTTTGTTACATGTGCTATCCATTTTTTTGTCGTTCCTTTTTTTGAAAGTCTTCAACTGATGCAGTTTTTGTTATTTGGTAAAGTTCTTTGTGATTTTCTAGTGCCAATCTATAAATTCTGATGGAGGAACATCTTTAAGAAGGATTCATTCGTTTGAAGCCAATGATCTGAGAAAATGGCTATATATAGACGATAGTTTAGAAATTTCTAATTGACGTGAATGCTATGCATGACATCGCCCTATCAAAGTCTAGATTCGACAAGGCTGACAAGCAAAAATCATGAATAGATTTTAAAAAAAACCTCACCATGGTAACTGCCACTACTACTACTACTACTACTGTTGAGTTGCTCACTTGACCTTGTGCCAGACTATGGAAAGTTTATAGACTCCCTCAATAATAAGCAATATTTATCTCATTGATCTATGAAATAAAACTCTTAAATACTAACAGTAAATGGTGGCTTTAATAGCCTACTAATTGCAACAGTTAAAATATTTCTATATACAGTTTCCATTACTTTGTCAGCTTTTTTTTTTAATTTTCCTCTCCAATGTAAGGAAAGCTCACTTAAATTTACAAGCAGCTTATAGGATCACTGAAGTATGGATCACAAAAACTGATAAACCCTGATATTGGCCACAATAGCAAAAGTATACTGCAAGTTAAATTTTGTTAGATGGTATCTAATAAAAATATCTCCAATTCTTCTGGCTTTTTTTTGTTTTAATACATTCTCTTTAATATTTTTACCTTGAAAAAGAATTTCAGTTTCCCAACATTTTTTCTTGTTTTAATCTACTTTATCCTTCTGAGATTTCAATTCACAAGTTGGTACCATTCACATTAAATACAACCAAATATATTATGAAACACTGATTCACCACCCCACCCCACCCCACTCTTCTCCAGCTGTCTACTGTACTTTTTAACCATTAAAAAATTTCAAACTAAAATTATTTTTCAATCTATGTCAGTAAATTGTTCCAACTCTGGATCAGTTATTCTTCGCAATTGATCTTATCATGGATCAATTAATTTGTCCTTGTAATATTGTTGGTCTCTTCCACTAAACCAGAGCACACTAATTTTTGCACTAATCCAAGTATTGAACTCACAACCACCAGTACACTCCCTTCACCTAAACAATGCACAAATAATTTAGGATAATTTAGTGATGAAAACATAGTCTTAAACCAAGTCTCTGAACTTGATTTGGAAGAGACGATGTCTCTGAACGCTGATTGATTGATTGATTTGTTTTTTTTTATGACCTAACAATCTTTAACAGGTATTTAAAGCCATGAAACATTTTTTGATTGTAAGAATTTTTTTTGGACATAATAATGATTTACTAATACAAGTCCTACTAATTAACCCATAGTGGGAGGAGAAGAGGTGGATTCATCCCTCTCCCAAGAATATTTGTGCATAAATGAATATAATGCACTTGACTGGAATTGGAACTTGGTTCTCCAGGTTCCAATTCTGAGCCGTTATCTGTTGCACTACCCACACATCCAAGCTTACAGCACTTGACATTCCCAAGCAGTCACCCATCTTGGTACTGACCAAACTCAACTTGCTTAACTTCAGTGATCATACAAAAACCAGTGTTTCAATGTGATATGGCCATAAGCCTCTGAAGAGTGAAATATGGATATTAATACTGTCCTGATCTTATATAAAACAATCTTTTGAATCTTTTCTGACTTGCCGCCTCTGATGTAACGCAGACAGGTCACAGTCATTCTTCAACTACTATTCTCAAATTACAAAACAGCCATAATCTGTGGAAGCTGATGTGATACTTGCAAAATATTTTTTACTCTGCAAGATGTTTCCAATGTGGATAATTTACTGTTGGTGTCTGGGTCACCATATGTGTTTTGCTAGATATTGTAGGCAGCAGACAAAAATCTTTCTCCATGGTGTATGGATGGGCTGGAATTGAAGTTCAATTATTGTCTGGTGAATGTTGGATTACAATATGTAAATGTCGTGAAGCCACATTGTGCAATCTTGTTTGTGTAGTCTTGTCCCTCTATGGCAACACCTCAAACAATCTTGACTGAAATTGAAAGCCAGGTTACTGCAATTTCAAATATATATAACTAATATATAAAACACTATACTTCGTTGGGATTTCATATACAAGAAGTAATATTTATAAATGATTCAGAGTGATTGTAATAGGATCTATGTATAAAAGAAAAGCATGCAAATTTTTTTTGTCACTTGCAGCCCTCAAAAGTTTCTAAAGTCTATCACATTCAACTTTTACTTAAAGCAAGTTTAGCCACTATTGTCACAACCTATTATTAGTGTAATAAGTTTGATTCTTGCTTGGTACTGCACAATTGTGACTTTGTTTAACTGGGGAAATACGGTTTATTTTTTAATATTTAGTTTTCATTTTGATCTTGATCGGAAACCTCTATAGTGCAAATAGTAGTTAGAAAGCAAATGTCACGGACAAAATAGGGAGTTTAACCTTCAGTGAGTGAAGACCATGTCCATTTTCAATATTAACACGAGTAGAGCAGTTAGCAAACCAGTTTTACTTTTGTTTTCAATGTGTTCCTCACCTAGTATCCCATATTTTATGATAAGATAAGCTTAGAAACTAAGATTTAATATTTATCATTGAAGCAGCTGCTACAAACAATAAGACATTGCTTAAGTAGCGGAGTTCAATTTTAACAAAATGCCCTGCTTTTGTGTTCTTATGAAAATACTAATAGATAATAGATCATTATTTTGTTTTTTTAATTATAAATCACATTTTATACCCTAACAAGTTCTTCTTGAGTATCAAACTCTCGTGAACATTCATCCCAATGACAGTTTGTTTCAATGAAGTCCGGCTCTCCTTCCTGTGGGATATGTCCACTTCCTCTTTGGAGATCTTCAACACATGGTTTGTCTTCATCTTCTTCTCCAGGATCAGATATGGCTGTTAGGAAATTAGAAAAGAAAACAATGTTCAAATATTTTAACGATTGGAAAGCAGTTTCCTTATCTTCTCTAAGAGAAATAAAAATAACTTAAATTATTATTATTACACATGAGTGTGTTTTTGTGTGTGTGCATGTGTGTGTGTGTGTGTGTGTATGTATGTATGTATGTATGTATATAAGTAGAACTTTACCTGATCTTCACTTATCCTGCTGCTGACAGTTTCATATGCACACATAATCTTCAGGTAGTAGGAAATGCAGAGATCTAGATTAAAGGTTCCTTATATAACCAATAAGACAGCCTTCAATTCAGAAAAATATTTTGTATCATTCATTCCACCTGAATACTATGTGTGCATATCAAACTGTCATTAGCCGGATAAGCAAAGACCTGGTAAGAAAGTTCATCTTTTTTCTTCTTTTTTTTTTTTTATTGCATATGTTTGCTCTGTATTTTTGTATTTTGCATTCAGCTCTGCATCCTTTGACACAAATTTTATTATTGTAAAAAATATATAAACAAACAAGTTGTAATTCAATTGGCAAGGTCTGTTTAGTTTTTATTGTATTTTTCACTCTTCAAATCAGTTGTTGCTCAGATTAAAATTGTGGCTAAATTGTCTAATGTTTGCTTCTTTTTTTCTTTTTTTTTAAAGTATTTTTTAGCATATTTGTCAGAAAATGTCCTCACATATATAGAATTGGTATTATAAAAAATAAGGTTAACCAACCCAAAAAATTTCTTTGCATTTTTAAGAGTTGAACAGCATAAAATAAAAACCTATCAGCAATAGTTGCCCAAAGCATGTCACCAATAAACAAAGAAAATTAATTTTAAAGAATTTCAGAAAAATGACAAAAACAATCCTGATAAAAAATAAACTTATTCTTCAATAATCAACTGCACTGTAATTATAAAAACAATCAAAAGGTCACATCACTTAATGCCTGCCATAAACATCTTAGAGTTATCATTTACTATAAGGATAAAATATCTAAACTAATCACTATCAATATCACGAGACCTCAATATCCCCCCGCCACCGGTAAAAACAATGTTCTTTATGAATTTTCATGTCCTTTAGGAGATTACATCTCCAATATCACTCGACATCTATCAGCAAGGCCTCTGATCAGGAGATTGGAGGTTTTGAGGAGTGTGAAACCACCTCTTAATTGCTGTTGTTGTCAGGTCTACTGGGGTGGTAGCAACTGTTAGGGTCCCAGTTATTGGCAAATAGTGGACCCCAGACAAAACATTGTGAAAGTAAAAAATACATTTTTATAGTAAAATAATATCTTTTTATATAAAAAAAATTAGCAACAATACCAATTTATAGTAAAAATTAGCAACAATTCCTATTTATAGTAAAAATGACCAACAATACATTTTATCTGTAGTTGAAGGCGTACAATTGCACTCAAAATATATTTAGTTGAAGCCATAAAATTGTGTTCAAAATATTTAGATTTCAGCATTAAATAATCCATAGAGGTGCTGATATGCCACTAAGCGAAATCAACCATCCAATATTATTAATTACAAAATATTAAATTCTTACAATGGATACACAAGTACCACACACTCTCATAGGTTAACTTGTCATTTATGCAATATTTGTGATAACTTCTAAAAATAGTGCAATGAAAAGGTACTGAAATTAAGATAAAAAAAATACTAATAAAAAAAATTAATAATGGTCAACAAAGCTTAGAAAAACATTTCTAATAAAAGTAAAATTTGAGATTATAAATAAAACGCACAGTACTTGATTGGTAACAAATTTTCATCAATTTACAGTCAAGTTGGCTAGATGTAACCATAAGTTATATGCTAACAGTTTCTTTTCCCGCACTTCTCACTTCCAGTTTCATGTTTTTACTTTAATCTTCAAAAATTTAAATGCAATGTCAATCGTTATCTACTGATTTCCTGATTACTCTGCTATTGTTCTCACATTTTAGTAATGTTTCTGTTTTCTAATTCTTAATTCTTCCACACCCTGTAACTCCTTGTGTCTTAGTGGTTTTATTGCTTTTCTTAGGGTAAACACAATTAAAAAAAAAATCATTTTGATATTGAGAAAGATTTATGAATTTGTTATTTTAAGCTTGATTATGATTAAGAGATTAACCAAAACTGAATTAAGCTTAAGTTCTATGAGAGAATGCTGAGAAGTTCTCAATCTGACCAAGGAGCTTTTCCACAAAACAATTCTGATGTTTAGTTATTTGCTCAGATTTGGGGAAATTGCACAGCCCAAAAACTTTTGGGAAACACTTTGTATAGCAAGCAAGCAAAAATGATTATTAAAAACAAAATTTAAACCAGTTTGCTTTTAATCAAATATACAATTATTTATATTTTATTAGTAATCTCTCTCTCTCTCTCTCTCTCACACACACACACACACACACACAACACTCCTTTTATAATTTTTTATCATTTTAAGAATATTAAGATCATGAAAATATTAACAAAATGGAATTAGGGAAACAAATTCAAACTACATTCATTTTTACATTAATGCTGGTGAGAAAAGCATGAATCTACTTTTCCCTGCAGTTTTCTTGAGAAAATATCTCATTATTTATTTACATTAGGTCTTGTTGATCTGGGTAACATTCAGAATGTTATGGTTAACTGAATCAACAAGCAACTGAAGAAGGCCAGAAGGCACAATGGATGAAATGTTGTGACAATAATAATAACAATAAAAAAGAGGATGACAGTCTGAATGTAAATAATGATAACTCCTCATCTCAGATAGAAAGTTTGCTTGTATGACATGATGCTTGAAAAAAGGATGGATAAATAAACATTTAAGCAAATCAGTCACCTATAATTTCTTCTATATTTGCCATGTCCCTTCAGGTGATTATGGCTATCCACAAGTTCCTATGCCTTGTGGCCCATACCAGTTTTCCTCCCTTTTCTAAGGCTCCCTGTTCTACTATCCATTTGCACAGGCTCATTAGGTAAGTTGCTTGATGCCTTCCACTATCTCTCTTGACCTCAATATGCCTTGTGAGGGTTAATTTTTCAAGCCCTCTTTCCTATTTTTGTGCCCAAGAATTTCAGCTATCTCTTCATGATTCTGAGCATAAGTGTTCTTTTTGCTGCCATTTTATTTTAGAATTCCTCATTGCTTACTCACTCCATTTAGTATTGATAGTAACAAGCAAATTCTTTTACCTTCATAATCAACTGTGACAGGATACCAAAAAAACAAATAGTTAATACACACACACACACACACACAATTTCAGTAACATGGTGATGTAAAAACAATATCTGTATGATCAAGAAATCCTCTATAAGATAATGATTCTTGGGTTAGACATGGCTTCAAGTGATCAAGCACTATTGGGATGAACTTTGAATAACCCCAGCAGCATTTATAATACAACCAAGCTTTCCCATTCACAATGTTGGAATGCCAAAGAAAAATGAAGTTTCATCTAGATTTCTTCTTGTATTCATTCAATACAAAATTAAATCTGAGATTTGAATTAACTGACCAGATGACCAAGGCACTGAACAGGGAATGCAAACATCAGCTAAAAAGAAATCAAGACAGCATTCAACACATTTTCCATTTTCGTGCGGGTGTGTGTAATATAATAAGATTTCTCAAATATTCAGGCCAGTAGATGAAAAATAAATAAATCTACTGTTTAATAAATAAATAAAAACAGATGCATTGAATGAAAATAAATCAATGCAATATCAAGTAATGCTGGCACACCAACCACCCCAGCTTAAAGAGATGGAAGGCAAAAGTCAACTTGCGGCTGAGTTGCTGTGTTAATTAATTTTAATTTAAAAATCAGTGTGTTTATCTAACGATTTTATAATAATAATTTTATTGTTTTCTTAAGCATTTCAAATAAATAATTTTCAATTTAAATAATATTTTCATTGTTTTATTAAACATTTTAGGGCATACAAATTTCATTCCAACAGTTATATATATATAAAGTGGAGACTGAGGTCAACACTGAGTGGTGACAGTCTGTTTCAGGCCTGAAGATTTCATTCAAGCATGAAAGTGTTCATGTTCATATTTATATGCACTTAACCCTGATAATGAGCACTTTTACCCATAAATGTAGCATACCTTGATGTCTTTCTATATATATTTGTGTGTGTGTGTCTGTGAAGAAACAAAATGAATAAAAAGAGACAAGAGGTAAAACTATTCTTAGCCAATGCGTTTCATCAGCTAAGAATAATTTTTCTTTTCTCTTTTTAATATATATATATATATATATATATATATACACACACACACACACACACACACACAAACCCAATGCGATTTTATATCTTTATCAATCCCAGATCCTTACCATCCATATTTGAGATTAAACAAAAAGTATTTCATGCTATGTGGACCTATAAGCAAACATTAACTACAAAGTATATATTATTAGTAAGTAGCAGGTATCAGGCTGCTAATACAACCAACCTGGAACACACATATAAATATGTTAACATATCATCCTGGTTTCTCAATTTCAAAAACTCAAGGTCCCCACTATCTGGCATTTAAAGATGCTTGGACAACCCTTAAATGACGGGTTAATGGAAAAAAAGAAAAATTGTTGACACTCTTCTAAGGAGCAACTTTGTGATAAAGTGACTTGCACTGCTTGCTTTGAGCCCTGACATTTCAAAATGTACTGGCAGCTCACCTGTAATGTTATCTGATTAAATTTAACAGATCAGGTGTCAGACTAAAAATGGGACGCACCTTGAAGACATTCGGTTTCTTTCTTGATCTTTGATCGCTTGAAATGCTCAGCTGACTGGTCCATTGTACTACTGCTAACAACACTACTTCCTGCGTCACCTTTGTTGCTGGTGGTTGAAGGAATCTGGAAAGAAAAAAATACAATTTAGAGAATGATCTACTAATAGTAAAAGTTGTCTGATATTATATATAGTTGCTGTAGGATTTAGAGAAAATGGCTAATTAGCCAAATTTGCAAAGGTGTTACTACATGATATAGCAAATTTCAATAAATCATTGGAATAAAAAAACAGAAAGAGAATGATACAACTATAAAAAAAAAAAAGGAAGACAAAAAAACAGTTGTTGCTGGTACACTCTTCATAGCCTTGTGCCATACTAAACTGAACTTAGTAAATATTAATAACTAGTTAACATGTGGAAGGGTGTTCAAGTTTTATTCTATGGACAATATTTGTTACCTCACATAGGGATTGAACTTACATCCTCCTGGTTATAAAAACTAATGCTTTGTTGAATTAACCTGTCTCCCCTGCTGGTTCAATTCTATTAGTTCAATTTAAGCTCCTTGTTTTTCTCTAGATTGGAGTTGTCTGGTGTGTTATCTTATATTTTCTCATTGGTGACAAGTAATGACATTTTGATTTACTTCTCTTTTGGAAAATTAGTGAAACTTTATTTCATCCTATACCCTACTAAAACGTTTCAAAATCTACTTATAGCTTATTCGGATGAGTATGTTTTATTTATTGTTTTTGTCTATAAAAGAGGAATAAAAAGAAAGCTGAACCATACAAATGAAAAAAGTCAAAGATGGGGTCATTTGAGACAGGATGATAAACCAGAATCATGCTAATAATTCATCTCCATATTTCAAACAGCATTTATACTCAGCACCTGTCTAAATTTAAATTTACACCTTGAGTGAAGAGACACACTCAAAGTTATTCTCAGTTCAAAAATATCATGCTTGTTTTTTTTTTTTTTGTTTTTTTTTGTTACTTTTTTTTTCTATCTTGGATAAAAGTGTAGTATCTCTGCCTATTCCTTGGCTCTTCAGAGCTGGAATCAATTCTACATTCTGAACAAACAAATCCACATAATGATATTAAGTAATAAGGAATAAAAATGAAAAGTCAGAGATACAGGTTTGCTGATTTTGGACATCAAAAATCAATGAATAAATCATTAAAAGGCAGCTAAGGATGGAACAGCAGAAAAATACATTCAAAAATTCTTAAAGAACAAAAAAAATATATATACATACACTACAGTTCAAAAATTTGAAGCCACCTCCAGAATTAGCATAGGATGAATTTGACAGAAGAGTGAAAAAAAAATTAAAAAGTCCTCTTAAAGTCATTGAAAAAAGAATGGAATCAATTATCAAACTTATACTTTGAGAAACTTTTGCAATGAATGTCAAAAATTTGTGCTGCAGTAATCAAGGCTAAAGGAGGATATTTTGACAAGAGCAAAATTTAATCATAAAATCCTTTTTTTATTTTTGTCAATAAAATTTCTAATAATAAATTATGTCTCCCTTTTTGCTAACCATGTATAATAATTTTCTCTTATTCAAAGTACAAAACAACTACTTTTGGGGCTAATTTAAAAAAACACCAGGAGTTTCCTCAAACTTTTTAACTGTAGTGTATATATCACTAATTCTAATCATAAATCAGGGCCATTCAAGTCGTCTGAAGATCATGTGAGCATGAAACTTGAGTTACAACAAGAGTCATCCTTTCATAGGATTTAACGTTGTTAAACATTTTTTGCTCACTCTAGGCAATCTAGGCTTTGAGCATTTTATTTTATTGAGAAGGTAAGTTTCTTCTTTCTTTTTTCAGTATTGTCATTTTTATTTAAGACTTTATATGGATAAGAGTTTTAAGTTTTGGCAAGTTGTCTGTTGGTTCTATCAACAGTTTTTTGTTTTTCTTTATATGCGTGTGTGTGTATATATATATATATATATATATATATATATATATATATATATATATATATAGATAATATTAGTGGAAAATATACATAAATATGCAAAATATATATAAAAATACCCATACATGTATATTTTCAGAAAAAAATTTTCCAAGAGGAAGAATCCAGGTAGAACTCAATGTCTAGGACAGAGTAAGGATATAATAAAAAGGCTTAAACACTAATATTCCATGGTCATAATTTATTCCATTGGAATCGTAAATACGATCCAAATCATCAGACCTAAAAATTCAAAATGAAAACAGAAAAAAACAACTCCGAAATCAAAACAGAATTTAGAGAAAGTGTAAGTATGAGGAGGAGGAGATGAAACCTTAACAGAGAGAATTTTAGGAGATGTGGGGGGGGTTAAAGAGAGAAAGAAAGTCGACGGATGTCTAATGCATAAAGATACATTTCGTGGTGACATACACACATCATAGACAATTAGAAGTTAGGAGGTAGGGGGGAAAAAGAAAGAGAAGAGGTGGGGGAGAGATGGGACGAAGGAAAATAAAATTGTGTTTACTTAAAGGGCCGCTTTGTAATTGAGAAAATTTGACAAATTAATATCGACTACAGGTTAGAAATCAAATATAAATATATGAAGATGAATATAACGATTGTCTAATCTAGCAAGGACCAAATATTTCTATGTTCAAAAACACATGCTAATACACACAATAACATATACAAGTAGGTACATACACTTAGGCAAGTACTCACACACATACGTGTACACACACACACACACATATATATATATATATATATATATATATATATAAAACCTAAAAATATAAAAATATATTCACATATCCACACATACACATATTCATACATACATACATACACATACATATATATACACACATACATACATACATATACATATATCCACACATACCAATACACATACACACACACATATATATACATACACATACATATGCATGTATATGCGTGTGTGTAAATTATTTTCATATAGAGTGTATCTGTACAGGAACAAAATGGATAAAAAGACAAGAAAAATCATTCTTAGCCGACAAGTTCCTCAGAGGTCAAAACACGTCAACTAAGAACAGTTATTCCTCTTGTCGTTTTATATATATATATATATATATATATATATATATATATATATATATATATATATATGATCATTAATGCAAATATCAAATTTGTCACTTAGCGGATTGATGCTATATTCAGCACCTCTACTCCAGAGTTTTATAGATAAACCTTTGTTTAACTGTTCGGTCTACTTTGTCAGGAGGTATTGTCTGGTCTGACTATTTTTTTCAATTTCTTTATTGTGATATTATTATCTCCTGATACTTTATCATTATTCTTTTTCCTATTTTTCGGCTCTGAGTGTGTATATATATATATATATATATGTGTGTGTGTGTGTGTGTGTGTGTGTGTGTGTGTGCAACTCATCCATGTTTGTAAATTTAAATAAAAATGTCAATGAAGATTGGAATGGATAAGGAAGAGAATCAGAAGATACAGACATAGGAAGGCACAAGACTTTAATTATCCAATCCTATGGAAGTTTCCATGGATCTACCTAGTTTATCAACTATTTGCACAAGACGTGTCATTCTTTATTGGTGAAGGGAAATAAAATTACAAACCTGTGGTTCTAATTTTGGAATTGGATGTACAATTGACTGTGTAGAAGACGGCAACACATGACCAATAGGCGGCTGTCGAGTTAACATGGGATGCATAACTTGGTAGAAGAATGGTGTGGGCGGAAAGGCCCCTGGACGGAGGTATGAAGAATTTGGAACGTGCTGATGGGCTGGACTCACAGCACCAAAGGAAGCTGCAAGATGAGAATTCCATAATAGGCAAAAAATAATGACTAATCTCAAAAGACAACATTTCAAAGGTGTCATTTCATTCAAATGCAAATTTCATTGGCATTTTAACTTGTACCATTTTCCAACATTTGACAAAAGCTAATGTTCCATGATGTACATGTGATGTACATGAAATAAAAGCAAAAACATTGACAGTAGAGTCTTTAAAAAAAATATATTTCAATTCCGAGATAAAGGATTTTCATTATTTTTGTCTTTTCGTTTTATTGTTAATTTTCATCACAATTTTCTTGACACAATTTATGCTCTACTCGCTATAGGTTTCTTTGACCAAATTGGTCAAGACAGTGTCCATGAAAGACTAGCTCCCAAAATATTGGACATGAGTTCAGCATTATCAGAAGCTACTTTAGGTATTCAATTTATGAGATGAAAAGCAATAAAACTTCTCAAAAATGAATAACAAGCAAAAATAAAATAATTTAGCAAGCAATGGCTTCAAGTAGCAACAATGAAAGACAAGTTCCTGATCTTTAGGCCTTCAGAAGATATTCCTACTTCATGCTTCTTTAACAGTTGCAGGGGACAACCTAAAAAGTTATGATTATTAAAAAAAAACAAAAAAACAAACAACAGTTTTTTTTGTTTATAATCATAAATGAGGAAAAAACTAGACAAAAAAAGTTTGGCCATCAACTGTTTCAACAGCCAAAATTATATAGTGTTACTACATGACATAACAAGCTCCCATTCCATATTACTGTAATGTTATGCTAGTAATATCTGAGAAGATATTGGCAGAATCAAGAGTATATGGCTTCAAGTCTTTTTTCAGATGTGCAATCTTCTTGCAAAGTGTGAGAGACTGTTTCTCTCTCCTTGGTGTTTATATAACATTCTGAAATACAGTGGTCATGCAAGTGTATATCCTAAATTCAAGTGAGTTCACTTCCTTCTTTATGTTGCTGAATCTACCAGCATCTTCTGATTCTGGACTTTGTCGCTTTGAAGTTGCCTTCTAGATCAATACTCAGGGCTCTTATGTTTTTGGACATTCTGAGGTGACACCAAGTACAAAACTAGTCTATCTTTGGGCGAAACTGGTATATATTGGGGTCACCATAGATCAACTCTTCATGGATCAGGGTTTCTAATGGACATTAAATTCAATTCAAACCTATTGTATTTCCTAACATGAATTACGTAATACAGTACTAAATGCAGGTTCAAATCTTGTTGAAAGCTACTACCTTGTTTCAGATTCTCAAGATTTCATTTGAAGCTAAAGAATATGTTATCATTAGAAAAGACTGAAGGTATTTCTCCTAAGAATGTGGAATAAGAAAAATGTCAAATTGGAAGCTGATATCCAAAACAACCTTCAGTCTGTTGTCAACTGGGGCAAAGAATGGCTTGTTAATTTTAACACATCCAAAACTAAACTGCTTTCCATTAATCATCTGAAAGACTCCTCTCTGTCTTCCATTAGCGGGGCAGATGCTAACCTGCAGGAAAATGACTCATTGCACCTTCTCAGTCTAACATTTTCAGCTGATATGAAGTGGAAAGCCTATATTGAATCCATTGCTAGGTCAGCTGCTAAGAAAGTTGGTTCACTGTGTTGTATGAGACAATTTTTCTCTCCAGAATCATTCTTACATATCTATAAGTCTAGAATGCTTACAATATTGCTGCCATATGTGGTCTTGTGTTCCTGCTATATATCTAGAACTCCTTGATAAAATCCAAAGAAAAATGAGCAATATTACTGGCATCAGTCACTTTCCCACTGCCATAAAGTTGCCTCTCTTTGCCTTATAAATACTTTCATGGTAACTGTTCTGAGCTCTTTGCTATAGTACCTAGACTTTTAGAATTTAAGTGCAGTACTTGACTCGCATCAAGATCTCATCAATTTACATTTGAGTTGGCCAGATGTAACCATAAATTCTATGCTAACAGTTTCTTTTCTCACATTTCTCACTTGTGGAACTCCTTTCCAGCTCTATGCTTTCCATCCAACTTTAATCTGCAAAATTTTAAATGCGATGTCAATTGCTACCTACTGTCCTCTTGATTACTCTCCTTTTTACTCCTTAGTAATTTTTCTGTCTCTAATACTTTCATACCCAGTAATTCCTTGTGTCTTAGTGGCTTTACTGCCTTGCTTGGGGTGAACTTGATTAAAAAAGAAATTAACAAATTGACCACCAAAGGATATTAACATTTTTCATTACTTCATTATGTTAAATATCAAAAAGTATTAATAAATATCCCCCTTTTGAAATTTGCACCTTGGCTACATTTTATCCTTAACACACTACTGTGATAAATATCTGCTTTCCAGTGATGCAATTTAGTCTCTGGAGAATCCCCACTGTTCTATTAAAAAACAAAAAGATTATTGTTGTGATGCTCATAAGATTTGCAAAGAGTCATATTAGGATTGTTTACTTACCAGCTGAAAGGTGTCCATAAGAACCGCTAGCAGCACTTGAGCTTCGTGAATTATGAAGGAGTGGCGTTAGCTGAAGAGAACCTTCAGAACTTCGAGTCAAGCTTTGAATATCAAGATAATCGGATATGGGAGAATGGGACAAAGCTCTTTTTCGACTTTTGCCCACAATTGAAGGTCGAGGACTGGTGAGTCGAGAACCTAAAAATAAAAACAAGAAACAAGCTAGCTCAACAATCCATCTCGACATTAATGAGGAAGAATTTGTAATGTTATCAGTGTACATTTTAGTGAGAACATGAGTTTTAATCTCTTATATGTAAGATTACATTTTTATTTAACTCTGGACTTTGTCAGTTACCAGTGGACAGTGCACTTGTGTCTTTCAGTTTTACTCTGAATGTGGATTCTACTTTCTCACCAAGGCACAAGAGGCTCTCCCTTCCCCTCTACTTTGGGGTGGGTATTTATATATCTACTTGTTATATGTTTTTTCTCATGCATACACATCCTAGGCACAGCTGAATCAACCATGTGTTTATATGTACAGGACAGCCAGTGACATCGGCTGAAATGTAGATATGCACTTGGAAGTCAACATAGAGAATGCACCTGGTTTCTCTGAGTGCAAAGTCTATTTTAGCAACATCGGGAGCAAGTCCCATGCAAAAAGTTTTTTTTTTTTTTTTTTTTGGGGGGGGTTATAAATCTTTCTTCTTTGAGTTTCATAATTAGAATCACTTTTCGTATTCAAAATCAGATTATGTCTTTCTAAGAAAGGATACGTAATTTCCTCATGTTTTCTGTAGGCAACAAAATTAATATGTTTATTGCCACATGATGCACTTTTTTGCCTTGTAGCATGTTGCATACTACCCCTGAGACAGCTGTGCATCTACTGCATAAAGTATTGCTGATGTTTTTTGGGTTTTTTTTTTTTATTACTTCCATAAATAACAATAAAAAAACTCAGTGTTGATTTTTTTTTTCCCACCTTCATTTGTAGTTTTCACATATAGATAATAAAAACCATGACATATACATCACATGATACTATGGAGAAAAAAAACCTACCAAGGACATATAATGTCATTTTTTATAGCTTAATAAATTTTATTTTATTCACCAACATAAAACCATAAGGAATTTCAATTGGTAACTTTAACAAAAAATATAGATGGTGTTATGTAAGTGTTTAAACGGTGAATGGGTTCAAAATTCATCTAATATAGTCATAATGAAGGCCAGTGAATACACAGTGGAGAAGGAAAACAAAGTCAAATTGGTGTTCATTGTTTTGTTTTTGTCATTAAATATCAAAGAAATTAAAAAAGGTGATTTCACTTACTTTCAAGAGAACCTGGTAAAGTGATACTCCCACTGCCTGGAGTGGGAGGGATGTCAGAAAACATACTACGCTGGTTCAAACTAAAAGGAGCAGAATAATCAGCAATTAGAGAACCAGTACCTCCCAGTGGAAGACCTGGAAGGAAAAATAACAAAATATTATACACACATCAGTCATCTTTGCATTCATTCTTCATCACTGACAATTCTCTTCTTGATTTTCAATAAATTTATATAATATTAAAATCAGTAACAATGTATTTAAATTATACCATAGGGTATTGAAAAGTTCCTGGTTCAAGCTACTTCCCAAAATCTAACCAAACATATATGGATAAGAGGGAATTAAGGACTTTTCAGCACTCCCTTGTACTTATAATCCTATTCTATCAGTAATACCTGCCTTAATTCCTGACCACTAATACTCTTTTCATGATATTCATGTCTGCTAACAGTCCCTTCAAAGTAGTCCTGACTGCTAACAATCCCTTTATGACTGAGTACTCAAACAAATTATAAATAAACATTTTCAAAGTTTAGTAATTAAATCAAATTCAACTTGAAGTACTCATAATGGTAATTTTCATTTATTTATAGCCTTATAAATTAATCTTAAAGCAAAACCAATACTCACTAACTTGAGGTTATTACAAATTCTTTTGCGATAAGGCTAAAACCCACACGTGGCAAATAATATACTATAAATTTAGTATAGGAGATGAGAAAATTGACAGATTATGCTAAGGGTACTTTTTTATCCAGCACCATAAGATTATACAAAACCAAAATATTAACCTGAAAACTCAAGTAATGTTCTTAAATAGCCTTGTCAGTTTTAAACTCATATAATTTATTGGATATTATGCTTGGCATCCAAGTCATTCAAAAATGTCTAACCTGTCATCTGTATATAACCATTTTTTTCAGATTAATGATTAAAAATGGCTCCAATAAAACGAATATGTTATGGTCTTAAAAGGAAAACAATCTTTCATCAGACCCCTAGAAATTGATGCTTCTAAAATCACAAAGACCATTACCAAATAACAAAAGCCATATCGCTTGAAGATTTCCACCATAAATGATAAAAATGGGAAGCAAATCTAACTAGAAGGGAAAATAATAATATAATCAAGATGTTAGCTTTCAACACTACTTTAAACAAAAAGTTAGTAAGGAAATCCCCAACAATACGAGAAAGAGTGACAGCGTTTAGTGGAATGAGATTTGCATGAAAAACTGTTTTAAGAAAAAGATTTTATAAATATAGAAAGTTTCCTGTGCAAAAACTGCAAATTTCATAATTACCACTTGTCAGTAGTAATTCTTATCCTACCAGCTATGGGTTAATTAGTAGGATTTGTATCAGTAAATCATTATTATCCCCCCAAAATTCTTACAAACTAAAGATTTTCTGGCTTTAAATAACCTGAAATGGGTTGATAAGCCATAAAAAACAAATCAATCATTCTAAAGGTTAATTTTTCTAGCAGAACATCAATCTATATAATACTGAAACTCTAATCTTGTATGTACATATGCATGTGTGTTCCCATGATACTTCTTAAAGAATACATAATATCCCAACCAATTTAGAGCACATTATACCTTGAACCCCTGTCAAGTACAGTGCCAAATTTCATTAAAATTAGACAAATGGTTCTTGAGCTAGGGATGTTTTTTCTGTTTTTACAGCATTTTTAATAGGAAATTCAGTATTTGCTTTCACTACATATTCTCATATCATTAAAAAACAAAACAAAACACTAGCATATTTCAACTGTTATGAAAAATAATGAAGATACATTATAACAACATTATTAAATAAATTTAAATATGCATAACACAACATATTCATATAATTCAATTATACTACATTAGAAGCTTTTTATAAACAAATCTTGGATGTCTGACAAGTTCTTGATAGCTGAAGAGGCTATGTGGGTGTGTCATTGTAAAAATAATCTGTATGGCTGGAAACTTGTGTCACATGACTTAATGGTAAATAAATAAATAGATGAATGCTGGGTTTGAACTGTTATGTATTTTGAAATAAATGTGAGGAAGAAACAAATATGTATAATAAAAAATATAATTATTATTAATTTATTTTTGCATTTGATCTAAGAAATACCGCATAATGCAAGTAATTTTTTTTTAATCATTTCACTCCAAGCAAAGTAATAAAGCCACAAAGGGTTACTGAGTGTGAAAGAATAAGAAAAAAAAAAAGAAATATTATTAAGGAGCAAGAACAATAAAAGAAGAGGAATCAAGAAGACAGTAGATAATGATTACACTTAAATTTTTGAAGATCAAAGTTGGCTGGAAAGCAAGAAGCTGGAAGAGAGTTCCACAGGTGAGAAAAGAAACTGTTAGCATATAACTTATAGTTACAACTAGCAAATTCAACTGTAAAATGATAGACCTTGTTACTAATCTAGTACTGTAATTGAATTCATAAAGTCTAAATACCATAGAGGAAAGTAATATTTATTTTGTAAAATACAAAAATATAGCACAAGGCCAAAAAGGGGGATGGGGAAGGTTAGTCTTCAATCTGTCTTACAATTAAACTTAGCTAACCAGAATTACTGACCCAAATATACTACAGTATTCCTTACACCAAAACAACATATTTTTACTTACCATTTTTACTACAACCACCATAATACCTCAAAATTTCTATGGAGTCTTAACTAGTTCCCATATATACAATTTATCTGTGGGTATGGCTGGGATAAAAATAACAACATTCAAAAATCAAACTCCAATGAATATTTACCATAGAGGAAAATTCATCAGGACAATTACTATGAAAATATTTTAACAAAAAGCACAGGGAAGCTACATTACAGAATTGGGAAAAATGACTTAAACCAAGATGCCAGGTCAGGACCAATAACACTGCAGATTCTTGTATTTTATTAAGATTCTCTAAATATATAGCAGGAGCACCAGACCATATATAGCAGCAATATTTGAAGCTTGTATTGCAAATACAAATTAAAATATGTGTAATTAATAATAAAATTGATAATATTGTTACCTCATCATTTTGTATCATAAACTACTTTTAAAAAGAAGCCAATAAGTTTATGAATGGTCCAGTAGGTATTGTGTGCAATTTATATTTTAATTTTTCCATCTGTTGATTTGGTAAAATTAATTTGGATCTGCTTATTTCTTCAATATACTTTTAACATTTGTGTGTCATGATATATAATCATGAGAGTGTCAATGTTTTTAATGTATTTGTTCAATAAATCCTACCTTTAATATGACAGGTTACATAAACAGCTTGCAATGAAAGCATATATAAAAATATTTAGATTATGAGTGCAGAAATTGATGAGTAGTGATAAACTTGGTGGGCAGTAATAAGAAAAACTAAAATATTGCTTACATAGAATGGAGTTCTTCTGTGTTAGGCAAAAGAGCTGACATTTTTTTTTCATTCTCTAGAGATGCCACTAATGTATAAAGGAAATTTTGGCATCTGCTATCAGAGAGGCTCTTAGTATTTGCTTTGTCATATGAATGTTTGAACAGTTTTCTTTAATAAATCCTACCCAAGATATCAAGAGTTACATAAACAACTAGTGTGTATATGTTTGCCATATGCCCTCATTTGGTAGGTGCGCCCTGTTAGATGTAAGCTAACAGTAATCATTTTTATTGTGCCAGCCCAGAAACATGGAGAGAGTTGGGTCATGAAAATGCTATTATACAAGACCTCAAACCAGGGGTGGGCAAACCAATTTTTTTTTTTTTTTTTGGAGGCCCACATATGCTGTTTGGCTGATTGATGGTGGGCCACAGGTGCTAAGAAATATTTGAATAATGAACATACAAAAACACTCATTTTAGCATTGACATTTAATAGTAACCAAAATTTCAATATTTACTTCAGGTCATTTTTTTTACTAATTCAATTCAAGGGCATTCTCATATGATTGGATGGTCAAACTTTTGGTCCTTCATGACCACAAAAAAAAAAAAAAAAAAAAAGTGTAAAAAGAAAACTTTTTCCTTTTATACTGTTATCATTTTAACTACATTCATTCCTTGGAAATGTTTATTGTTTAAAAAAGCAGTGATTAGAATTGGAAACATAATGAAAGTGAATTTACACATTTTTTGTTTGTGTGAAAATAATGAAAACTATTCATTTATTAGATTGTTTATTGACAAGAATAATTTTATATTTACAACATTCTACAAACTAATACAATTAAAACTAATGCAATGCAATATTTATCATTTACCAATTTATAAAGAAATAAATTAAACAATTTTTTTTATCAACATTTACTAAATTATTAAAATATGTGAACCAACTATAAGTAAATCATTATTATTTACCATTTTATAAAGTTTGAATAAATTGGCAATTAGTCAATGTTTTGCCATTCATTCCAATAAAAAATATAATAAATAGTGTAAATAAACAAACCGTAGTTTCCTACCACTGCCCTAAACTTGTAATAAAAATTGAAAACGGTCTCAGTATGAGGTTTAAAATTATAGTAAACTATAACTATAGTAAACTAACATTTAACACTTTACTTTTTTTTTTCTCCTATCAATTAAGGTGGCGCTTATTACTGAAAAATAGTGCACTTAAATTTTATGGTTGTGTTTTCATATCCTGCTATGTCAACAGCAAAATTTATCTTGAGTATAATCAACAGAGGTACCTCAAAAAATATGCAGTAGAAGTTGAAGTAGTACTAGTGAATAATGTAAAGTGCTAAAGGTTAACTGACTTCTTGGTTAGGCTAAATTTTCAGCACCCTCTGAGTGTATGTGAGAAAGAGAGAGCATGTGTAAAGAATGATTACAATACCTCAGTACATTATGAAACTATTTGTAAAAAGAGGGAAAGATTTGACTGAACCTGGTAAACTAGCTGGGCTACATCGTCTGGCTCCCAGTGGGCTGTGGTAAAAGTTTTGCTGGAAGTGTTCCCAGTGTAGTCGGGATGTAATATGTGACACAGTGTCTGCATTTACAGGGCTGCGCATGCTCAGCAGAGACACATCAGAGTGAGGACTGCTTGCCAATCTGGAAAAGAAAAAGTTTAAAATTGAAATTACAGTAAATGATGCTTACATTTAATGGATTTGTGTTTTACAAGAATTATTTTTCACAGCTATCCCAACAAGAACTAAAGCAATACAGGGCATTATTTTCAGTCAGCTTCACTGCAGAAGTTGCCAAAAGCTTGTCAGTGTGGATAGCCAACCATCTTGGGGGCTCCACACCAAATTTTCTGTCTGGATTTACTGCTATAGTCTTCCCCCATAGTCTTTAATATGACCACAAGGCAGTGAAGGTTTAAGAAGGAATTTTTTTCTTCCCTAGATGGACTGCCTTCGCAGACTGATAAAATCCATCTACATGAAGTAGCTGGTTATAAGGTGCTAGTAGTCCAGTCCACATCCAACCCTTCTTTGGCTTGTCCTAAGAAATGCCATTAATCATCAATATGGTACCCTAAAGGATGAGCCCAAAATGCAAATTACCAATTGGGGATACTAAAATGAAGCAAGTACAAAAATTTAAATATCTTGGAAGTCTCCTAACAGAAGAACGGAAAGTGTGACAGAGATCTGAAGACATAGTGGAATGGCAAAAGATGCATTCTAAAAGCTAAGCAGAGTATTAAGAGACAGAAAAATTTTGTTAGAAACAAAGAAAACAGTCCTGAACTGTTACGTGATATCTGCCCTCCTTTATGGCAGTGATTGTTGGACAATCTCCTCAAAAATAAAGAAGAGACTTGAAGCAACAGAAATATGGTTCTACAGAAAGATGCTGAGGATACCATGGACCAAACATGTGAGCAATAACAAGGTTTTGGAGAAAATGGAAACAAAAAGGAAACTTATACTTAACATTAGGAAGAGGCAGTTGAAATCTTTGAGGCATGTAATGAGGAAAGAGAGCTTGGAAATCCTGATACTCACAAGATAGATTGAGGGGAAAGAGGGATTTAGGAAAGCAGTGTGAAACATATTTGATGAGCTTGAGTAAATGGATAGTAGAACAGGGTTTCAGAAAAATAACAAAAAGACAAAACCTATTAAGAGCTACAAGGGACAGGAAGATGTGGAGGACCATGCTGGCCTATGTCTTGAAGGGACATGGTCCATAAAAGAAGATGAAATAAGCTAAGACTTCAGATAATTTTATTTGAAATGATATCAGTAGACAGTTATTAAACAGTTTTCTGGATGCAAAATCCATTGTTTGAAAATATCACAGTTGAGTAACATTTAGCAAACAATTCTAACAGAAGAAGTAAAGAATTTAATCCCCATTGGGAACTTAATACTTGTGGCCAATGTCAGACTAATATAAGATTAGTAAATACTAATATTATTCCTAAAACTGAAAAAGGATAACAAAATATTAAAACTTTTAATCTTAGAAATAAAAAAAAAGAAAATATAAGATAAAGCTGGCAAGAAATCTGATAGTTTTCTATCTTCAAGGCCGATGCAAGTGTTTATTGCAATGTCTACAGGAAATGGCATTAGAGCATAGACCGTGAATCATCTGCAGACAGTAAGTGTGAACTGCCAGTAAAGAGTCCGCAATATATTCTACCTTATTAATGAGTCAAGTGCCTAAGGCATCAGTGATTATTATGAGTGTCTGATTTCTTTTCCATAAGTTGCCAATTACAGTCTAGAAATATCTGCCCTTCATCATAGTGAAGGGAAAAGACGTAGAAAACTTAATCATTTGTATATTTTAACCCTTTCAATCTGACATATGCAAAATCTTTTAGTATTTCTACAAAAAAAACTTACTCTCTCCAACACTTTGTTTTGCATTAATATCAACTCATATTGTAATTAAATTCTCAAGTATTTTCCTTAACCCTTTCCATCTGATATTTGTACAAACATTTTTTTTTGTATCTTTTTATATTGGAACCCTCAATAAGCACTACTATTCAGATCCAATATTTTTATATTGATCACTTCATGGGACCTTCTATAAACACTACTCTTTAGATCTGATGTGTTTTTAAACTCAAAGTAATTTTTTAGGTAGTCCTGGGTATGATGGTAAACTACATCCAGCAGTAAAGCCTCTGATCAGGAGATGAAAGGTTTTGAAAAGCATGGAACCATCTCATAATTGCTATTGTTCCCAGGTCCACCCTGACCCAGGGTGGTAGCACCTGTTAGGGTCCCAGCTATGAGCAAATAGTGAATTTAAAAAAAAAAAAAAAAAAAAAAAAACATGATGAAAGTATAAAAATACATATTTATCGCAAAATGATCAGTAATGTACATTTTATCTGTAGTTGACGCCATAAAATTGCATTCTAAATATTTAGATTTCAGCCTTAAATAACACAAACACATATTGCTAAACAAAATCAATGAACCAACCAAGCAACCAACATGAAAGAACTCTTTCAAGACATTAATCATATAATTTTTTAAAATCAAACTGTATTCTAAACTATAACTTCAACAAAACTACAACATAAAACACACATATCACTGCTTTTAGTAATTATGTCTGTACAAACATGTATATACACAAAAGCTGAGTATCAACTACCATGCATTCAATTGTGAAAGCAGAATAACATATATGTTTATTACTTCAAAGCTCCCAAAAAAAATGTAAATTTTGGCATTAAATGACCAATAATATATACCGTTAAACAATTAATAATATATACCATTAAACAAACAAAAGAAACAATAATATATACTATTAAAAAAACCATTGAGAAGGATATGCTTAATGGCAATAACAAACAGGCCCACAATACTCTCAAATCCCTCACTAAGACCAGCCAACCAAGAGCAACGGTCATAGAGGATGAGAATGGTAAATTGTTGACGGACATTGAGGAGGTTTTTCATAGATGGATGCAATACTATGAGGATTTATACAATTACCAGTTTCATCCAGATGTCTCCATATTGCAAAGGGACCAACACTCTACAGAAGAAAAGATAAGGCCAATCTGTCATTACTGAAAGAAGAGGTTGAGTTGGCAGTAAAGAGCTTGAGAGTAGGCAAGTCACCTGGAGAGGTTAATATTCCCTTTGAGCTGATAAAAGATGGAGGTGAAGAAACCATCAAAGTCATAACAACACTATGCCAGAAGATTTGGAAACAAAAAAAGTGCCCTAATGAGTGGACTCAGTCATTGGTAATGAGTTTATTCGGAAAAAGGTTGAAAGTTTTGTGGGACACTAGGAACTTGTTCTCGCCACTGTCAAATGGAGAAAAATGTCATGGTTTGAAGACATTGGCATGACAGCATGTGCAAGATCATCATGCAAGGCACCGTTGAAGGTGGACATAAGAGAGGACGCCAATGCAAAAACTGATTTGACAATGTCAAACAATGGACAGGTATGACTGTAGCAGAACTGCTGATGGCTGCCATTGAGAGACCATTGTGGGAAAGTGTTAGTGTGGCATCTGCATTCAGATCTGCCCTACAATTACAAAAGTCAAGAGGATGATGATGATGATGATGATGATGATGATGATTATTAAACAAACAAAAGAAAACAAATAATTTTTTTAGGTGTAGGACAAAAATGTTAACTCTGTATCATTATATAACAAATAAAAATAATTATTAGGGAAATTAAAAAGGATATTTTCTTGTGACTTCCAATTAGGATGACAGATATTTTTTTTAAAACATGTTATTGCTTTTAGTAATTAAGCCTATTATTATATGATCCAATATCCAGAATCTCAAAATGAAATTAGGCACATGTGTAATAACACCTGACAGATGAATGATTTACTGGGGAGCTTGGATGAAAATTAATTCCCCAGATCATTACTACTGTAGTGAGTTCAGTTTTAATTAGCTGCTTCATACTTTTGTCGTCCTTCTGCTATATTAAGTATACATAAAAATATTTTACCATGATGTAATTGACAATCCTTTGCTTCTTGATTATAGATAATTCATCAAAACCATTTATAATACTTTATATATATATATATATATATTATATATATATATATATATATAGCTGGCCACTTGTATTCGAGGATACCCATCTACTAGGGCGGCTAGCCAATCCCTATTGCAGACGCTCACTCAAGCACATTTGTGTTTGCTCAACACCCACAGGGCCCACCTGTGGTTTATACTGCAACTATGCTGAGCAGACTTTAGTTACAGTTTCTGGGAAAGAGCGTGTTATCTAGTGTGATCAACAATTTGAACAAGGCCAGCACACTCAATCCCTGTGGCTTTGTGCTAGCACAGTTCCGTCTACCCAATTTCATTCACAAGCTTTGGGTCAACTGTGGTATGGTTTTCAGGCACTTTACAAAGGTGCTGTTCACTGGGATCAATCTTGATCCAGTCAAATAACTTCCTGACAAGTTATACTATGGTGAGGTTCGAACCCGGGTCTCATGGTCAGAAAGCAAACGTTCTAACCACTCAGCCACACGCCTATATATATATATATATATATATATATATATATATATATATATACACACACACACACACACACACACACACACACACTCTCCCTCTCAGTACTACTTAACATATTTTCTGACAAAAGGATTTTCCTATTAAAATGTAATGAAAATAAAGAAAAAGGGATTATCAACGTATCATCCTCTTAGTTTCACCAGTTCTAACCTTCAGTACTAAGACCTGCTATACCCCACGTCCAATGTAGCAAATCACCCTCATTCCCATTTGGTGAGTTCCACTCAAGTAGCTTTCTTCTCTCAAACTACTGTTCTGTGAAACCAAGTCCCAAGAAGATGCTTCCCCTGATCACTACAATCTTAATGGTTAACCCTAGATTTAACAGGTTATCTTCTCCACATATCTGCATAAACTATGCCCTTTACTCTGTGACTCTCTACCCATAGTGGCACCCAGGCCTCGTACAGAGTGAACATCATTGTAAAAAAAAGGAAAAACTTAACTCATCATAAAATTGACTAATTTCCATCAAACCCTATGTTTCTATAATGGCTACTTTATTTTTGGAAGATTTTTAATTAAAGAGTTTATGTTTTTCTGTTAGTAG